ATACCGATATTGTTTCGCACACCTGTCAGAAATTTCATGAATTGTCAAACCAACAACTGCGATTTCTATCAAATTTTATTTTAATTGAACACTATACAGGAAGAATAAAGCGATTGTGGGAATTGTATTAATTCGCAAACACAATTTTCTCCCATATCATTATGAACAATCGGAGAAAAAATCATATGTTCAACTCGGCAGCACAGTAGATTGACTGCCTTTGCTGGATTCCTAGCCTCGCTACGCTCGGCTATGAATTCAGCCATGGCAGTCAATCTACTACTTTGCTGCCTAGTTAAACAAATAACTATTCTCACAGTATGGGCAATACATGGTTTTGAAGCTAAGTAAGCTATGAGAAATGCGCTACTTTCCATAGCAGTGGTAGAAAAAAGTTGTTTCCGCACTAGCGCGGAAAAGTAAATTTGTTTAAGTTTCTGGGGAGTGTATACTGACATTTGAATATTTAATATAAATAAATGTTTTTTTTATGTCAACTTCTGGGTTTTTCCTCACGCTAGTAGAATAAATAGTGTACCTTATATCACGTGCGTAAAGAGAATTCTCCGCACAAAAACCTGTTTATTTGGCAATGATAGGAACAAACCAATCGATAAATTAACGAATCCTCCAGGACGAGTATATTTATCTGAAAACTACGTTGGTGACACGTTCATTTCGAACCTAAAAATGATCCAGAGTACAGTGTGTCCCGTTTTCGATGATTTTTTGTTTTCGCGGTCCTGTGCCACTTTTTTGTGGGACTCAAGATGACCAAATAAGATTTTGCTCAACTGTCTCTGTTAATGAGATACAGGGCGATTTAGAAAATTTATACTTTCTGAACCCCCTCTATATCTACGAAGTTTCTCAGCGAGAATGTTTGATGAAAATCAAAACCAATGAAGAATAACTCAATTTTTTTTTCGGTGTATGGTTATATGCAGACGACCCAAACTTATGATTTTTCAAATGGATTACCCTGTATTTCATAAGCTCATTAAATTTTTCATTTTTCTTCCTTCAGAATGATGTAATGTATAGATATAAAATTTCCACTAAATCACTAAAGCATTGAATTTTAATAATGGGCTATGGATTTTTCATATAAAAAAGTTCCAATTGAAGGAATATATCTTCTGATTTCTCCATGAAGAGGACCAAAACAATATCAACACTAATTTACTGATAAAACACAAAACTTAGGTACCTCTGATGAAGCAACAAAAAATAGTAATAAGAAGTACATGATGTAGAGTACGCACCTGATTGAATATTTACTAGAATAATTGAATATTTACTAAAATAATTGAATGAACTTATTCATTGAATTGTTCAAATTGATGTCCATTTTACGTCTTAATGTCTTAATGCATTCAAAATAATTAAACGATGTCTTTGTAATTCTGCACATTCTTGCACATTCTTGCTGCACAAGTTCTTCAAGATTTTTGTGCTTCTTACTGAATTATGACGTATTGAGAAAGTGTGTCAATTGTTAGGGAAAATGGACATCAATTTGAACAATTCAATGAATTAGTTACAGAATAATTCCGAAATCCAATTGTTTTAGTAAATATTTAATCAGGTGCTTATTCTACTTAATGAACTTTTCATTACTATTTATTTGTTGCTATTAGCCATATTAACCATACCCTGAAAAAAAATTTGAGTGTGCCACTTAATTCTGCGTAAAATTCTCTATTGGATAAGATTTTGATTCGACATTTTCGCTGGGAAATTTCGTGGGGGTGCGAAATGTATAAATCTCAAAGATCGCCCTGTATCTCATGAATGGAAACAGTTATGCAAAATTTGATTAGGCCATCTTGAGTTTCACAAAAAAAGTACGGCACAGGACCGCGAAAACCGCAAGGTTGTAGGTTGTATCTCCAAAGATAACTGAGATATTATACGTAAAAGCATCGAAAACGGGACACACTGTACCCAAAGACGTGTATCAAAAATCATGATGTAGGAGAGGAATGGTTCTCAACAAGAATTCACTTTTAAACGAATTTGAAATCGAAATTATTTCACAGGGTGTTTTAAAATCATGATTGCACAGTAACCTTCCAATTAACCCTGTATATAATGACTAATTCGCCAATATTTGATGGAATACTGGATATGTGAATTGAAATTAGTCATTTTATGTATGGTTTGCTGAGAATTTTGAAACATTGAATCATGAATAAAAATGATACGAGACCTCAAATTTGACCAAATATCAACGTTTCCTTGCATCTGAGTGTACAATTTGCCATATATATATATCAGATATATCTGAATTATTTTCAAATAAGAATGTCTATCAACTTTATTTCACGTATATTTCTCTTCCTTTCAGTTGAACTCCCAAGGCAACGAGAAGGGACCAGACCAGCAAGAAGAAACATTCAGGCATATGTTAGCACAGCACATGGTAAATATTATTTTATGTAAAAATTTGTATAATTTCGTATTCAGTCTTATATCAACTTCTTACAATGTGCCTGGTTATTTGGATATGTTTGCATGGGTAGTTGGAGATAAAAATGTTGTGACAATCTATTGAATGTGAATATGGGTATGAGAATAAATATGCTCAATATGAGCCTGATCAGAATCTTCTGAATGTGGACATGGTGGAAATACATTGAATGTAGACCTTATGAGACTCTATCGAATGTGGGCATAGTGAGAATAGTGAGAGTTACTTATAGCTGTATGCACGTGTAGACATACAATGCTTTCGACAGTGCGACCTGTGATTATAAGTAATCAACCATTAGCTATTGAAAAAAGCTGATTGATAACTCACAGGTAGCACACACTGATGATGACTGTAGGTATAGTCGAAACTCGAAAGCACCCTGCTACAAAAAATTTTAATAAATCATCTTGCACGAAATTCAACAGTTTGTACAATCATTTGTATAGTGAGAATGTACTGAATGTGGGCATCTTTGAATGTGAATGTGGGGATATACTGAATTTGAGCCCGGTGAGAATCAATTGAATGTGGGTATATTGAATGTGTTTTTGAATGTATGATAAATTGATATTCATCATACAGGACGTGGAAAGAAATACTGAAATTGAGAAAACCTAATCACGAATCTGCGATTGAAGGTCTATAAAAATAACAAGTTTCCATTGTTCAAGATTGAACCCCTTGATTGGGTGAAAGTATTGAAAAGGAATATTCTCAGATATATTTATATGAACACAAAAAATGAATATATACAGTGTGTCCCAAGACCAGTAGGACAGTTGAATATCTCCTGAACCAATAGGAATTTTCAAAATATTATAATTCCACATCATATCGCATCATGAGTGCTAACTTCAGGAATGACTGAATTTTATACGAGGGGCGCAAGAAAGGCTCACAAAATCGAACATCAATTTTTTCAAATGGAACACCCCATATATTTCAACATATCTGAATTCTCATCCCTCTAGGCTAATTATCAGTTTTTTATTTTTGTAAATCCGACAAGACGTTGCCAAGTTATACTAGGTGTTTCATGAAATGCAGAATTTTTTTCAGACAAACCCATCATTCATACTACTGAGAATTCATGGAATCATTCAAGACTGTTGGTAGTCGGTAGCATATTCTATCATATGGAATACTCATCTTCCTTGAAAGTTATACAGGGTGGTCAGAAATATTATATGATTTTCACGAAATTCGAACTTTCTTCACATCAATTTTTCAAATAGTGCACCCTACAATATGTATAATTTTATATCATGTAATGAAAAATTTTGAAATGTGCCTTGCAGCAAACGGAAGGCAATTCGAACATTTATATTAAAATTATTGTGCCTAATTATTCGTCCAGTCAGTTTTTTCTCTTTGGGACTGTTTTTTTAGTAGTTAAGTACAGTTGAATTAATAGTTTACTGCATTTTTTTCATTTGCATTTGTTGATGATGAAATTCACATCTCTCTTTCACAACTATTGACCATAAGCAATCATACCACCAATGGGAATAATGGGATATAAAATCATACGGGTGCACTATTTGAAAAATTGATGTGAAGAAAGTTTGAATTTCGTGAAAATCATATAATATTTCTGACCACCCTGTATAACTTTCGAAGAAGATGAGTATTTCATATGATAGAATATGCCACCGACTACCAACAGTCTTGAATGATTCCATAAATTCTTAGTAGTATGAATAATGGGTTTGTCTATAACTTGGTATAACTTGGCAACGCCTTGTCGGATTTTCAAAAATAAAAAACTGATAATTAGCCTAAAGAAATGAGAATTCAGATATGTTGAAATATATGGGGTGTTCCATTTGAAAAAATTGATGTTCGATTTTGTGAGCCTCTCTTGCGCCCCTCGTATAAAATTTAGTCATTCCTGAATTTAGCACTCATGATGCGATATGATGTGGAATTATAAAATTTTGAAAATTCCTATTGGTTCAGGAGATATTCAACTGTCCCACTGGTATAGGAAAATATCAATTCTTTGTCGGTTTATTCAACAGAAAACAACTACTTTCCTGGCTATATGCCACGACGAACATTGAATTGATTTATTTATGCAAGTATACTTCTCCTATACATTTCAATTTTCATTTCAATACTGAACATATTGGTAAGTTATATTTTTATATCATAATACATCATATCATTTTATCCGATTTGAGAGATAATGTCATTTCTCAATTTCAGAGGATTTTCATTTTTCATGCTCCCTTTTTAGATGTTCAACAGATATAATTCAATGTTCGACGAGGCAAACAGCCAGGAAAGTAGTTGTTTTCTGTTGAATATTCAGAATGATATTATGATGTGCATATCTTTATATATGAAGGAGAATACAATTTCTCTACTTCAGAAGATTTTGTTTTCAAATTTCATCGTAATTTTTTGTAAAAATCAAAATTAGGTTAGGTAGAAGCAATTTGACTATAAAAAATAATATATGGTAACCCTAGCTAGGTCATTATTCATTCAACTAATGTAGCTATTCCAAACCATGTTAAAGATGGCCATGAGAGGCACCGAAGGACCAATGGGTCTCACCGGTGTGCCAGGACCACAAGGACCAAGCGGTCCAGAAGGGATCAAAGGAGAACCAGGAGATGGAGGCGAACCGGTAATGAAATATAGGGCGTTTTCGAAATTTTTGTACATTAACCAATTGAAATGGGAAAGGTATACATAATTTATATGTATACAAATATTCAGATATTACGGACCCACAATGATTGTTCCGAATATTTCTCTCATATACAGTGTGTTACAATTTGATCCACCCCACCCCTATACGTTTGTATTCCTAGGACGATTCAGAAATTCGGCATAACCACCAATACTCCTATATCAATTTTCACAACAACACCGTTACAATTTTCGATTAATTGCATTTTTCAAGTCACCTTGTATAATAATTCTTTCAAGAATTTGAATAATACCAGACATTATGGTAGTCAGGATTAGATCATCTGGCTACAGAGTGAGAAATTCAGGCTAAGAAATAGAGAAGAGTTGCGACGGAGAATAATACCAGTTCGCAGAGAGACCACCATTAGAAGAACTTAAAAATAACGTGTGAAATATGAAAAGTGTATAGAGAATGAAGGAGATCGAGAATACAAAAATCTGAACCTGTTAAGAATGGTTGCAGTTTTAGTTCTTATTCTAATTTTTTGATGTTATTTTTTAATTGGTATAATCTAATTTTTTCTCTTCTTTTTATTTCTAGTTCTAGTGATTTTATGAGATGAAAAACCTTGTGATGAATAGGTTTCTTGACTTCATGTCAGCTCAGGAATATCTTAAAATCATTGTAGCATCGTCATTGTATGAATTGGTCAGAAAAATCCAGAAGGGCCTTCTTGCGCCCCCTTGGATTGCCTCATCTAAAAAATCATGAAATCAATTCAAGATATTGAGCAGAGCAATCGATCCAAATGAAGGATTTGTGTTTAGCATAGAATATGGTTATGGCAGCATCAAACTGAACATTACATTATTTTGAAATCTGAAAATTATCGACGTGAAATTTTAAGTTTTTAACAGTAGGGACACCTGCGTTGTAGGCATCTTTATCATTCTTTTGAAGTAATCAAATATCTGACGTCACTTCTGTCAGTCTAATTCTATGATTTGATTTTGAAAAATTACGAATTTTGTGGTTGTTTAGTAATATACGTAACCGCGAAGTCGAATGGAAGATGAAAGGACTTGCAGTTCTTTCTCGGAGACGGTATTATTGACTCATTTTTCGGAACTATAGCACAACAAAAGCCATCAACAGTGCATATACAGTATGATGCAAATGTATGGAATAAATTCATTTCAAAACAAGACGACTTCCGAAAAAAATCCAAAAACTAGAGTTTAGAACTTTTTTTATTGTGTATTTTTTCAACTAGACGACCCTTCGATGTTCAATTCTCAGTAGCAGACCTCTGCAAGATTCAGTTAACCAAATGATAATCCATTTTAATTGCAATATTCTTATGCAAAATTTTGACTGTTGGATGGACGATCAGTAGACCTTTCAAACGAGGTGTCACATGACCCCTGCTTGTATTTGAAAAAATCGTCCATTACGTCATTACTTCTACACCAGTGACGTAACATCTCTCATATGAATGTCATGAGATGAGGCTTCAAAAATTAAAACTCACGTGTTTTTGGAATTTCTTCAAATGTCGCCCATTTCTGAAATAATGAATTTATTCCATACATTTGCATCATACTGTATATGTGATATATATCCGGGAAAAAAGTACTCACTTTTTTCCCACGGGAAAAAAGTAATTTATGAAAAGTGGCATTTTATAACCTGCCAACAGAGATGAAATGCCAATCTTTTTTCCCGTCACAGAAAAAAATCTTATTTCTCAGAAATGTAGCTAAGAAAAAGAAATCTAAAAAATACCCGCATAATGGATAAGTGCAAAATGTCTGAGATTTGAAAAAATATCCACCATCGAAGCACACTGACATCCTTTAATTTTCAACAGGGCCTGCCAGGCATCCGAGGCCCTCTGGGCCCCCAGGGCCGCGAAGGGCGCCGCGGGCGGGCAGGCCGCGACGGAGAGCGCGGCGCGACCGGCCCGAACGGCGCCAAGGGCGAGCAGGGCTTGCTGGGGCTGCCCGGCCTGCCCGGCGCGAAGGGCGAGCGCGGCGCGGCGGGCGGCCAGGGGGAGAAGGGCCTGCAGGGCCACGACGGTCCGCAGGGCGACGAAGGGCCGCCCGGGGTGCCGGGGCTCACGGGGGAGATGGTGAGTATCCGACAAGTCTAAACGTTATACAGTTCTCAACACACTAAATGGACTACTCATAATTTGACCCTTTTTCGAAAGCCGGGATTGGCGCAGTGGAAGAGCGTCCGTCTCACGACCGCAAGGTCGTGGGTTCGATTTCCAGCACGAGCAAGAAACTTTTTTCAATATTTTATTTTCGAATGAAATATTGTAAAGTTTCGGAGCATCGGCTGGGAATAGTCCTGCACGATTCGCTGTTGCGTTCCAATTAACAGTGCTGCTCCTAAAGTGGCGCATGGAGTTAGTAACACAGCCTACACAGAACACGCAGAAAGAGATGATGATGTGGTTGTGAGCATCAGAGAAGAAGTAGGACGGTGTATGTAGGTGGGTGTGGAAAAACTACCAGCTGAGCGTGAGAGCGGGCCAGCTGCTTAAGTAGACCCCAGTCTCTAACGGGGGTTAAGGAGGATAGCTAGCAGGCCTGCCACTGCGCATATGGTAGTGAGTACATTACTAGCCTACAAAACACAGCCGAAAAACTCTGAAAGAGAGCTGATGGGCGGTGCCTGAAAATGGATGTTAGCCAGCTCTCTTGAGCGAACCACATCAGTCATTGAAAACACTTGGGGTTTGCAAAAAGGTCCCATGAGGGACTAGTTGCTGACGTGCAAACGTCCCCCACCAGTACCAGTTGACCCTTTTTCGAAGACCTGTATTTTTTGAAGAAATTGACCAATCTTCATGCGGTTTTCGATATCAGATTGATATTTCATCGGTTTCAAAGAGAGCTAGAACACTCTGAAAACGTCCGCAGAACAAAACTTACACAGGGTGTAAAGTGGAAACATTACACTATGGTCTACATTTCCAATGCTGCCAGACCTCGGAAAAAAATTTTCTGGTCAAATGTCAGTCCTATTATACACTGGGACCTCATCTCGGAACGTTTTCTCCTTGATTGCCCATTAGAACAAAAATTAGATTTTTTTTCGAAAGTCTTATTGCATTTCTTGAATTCTTTCTCTAGAACTCCGCTTGGGCTGAATATTGGGAAGAACTGTTCTCATGTTTTGTGGAGGACGATGAGAGACGAAAAAATCACCATTGTGGAATATACAGGATGATAAGAAAATAGGACAAAATCTCATTTCAGTATACAAAGAAAAATCAAAAACGGTGACTATATAAAACCATGGCCCATTCGATTCAGTATATTCAGAAACGGCCTGCTCGATATCCATTATTTATATTAGACTATTATTTCGAGACGTTTCCGAAAATTTACCTCTACTTTAAATACAGGATGAAAATTCTCAATTCAAATTTGTTTCCTGATATCGATATCTTATCAACTGATTTCCAATATTTATTGCCCAAGTATGAGACACAGAGTATTGTAGTTCAATATACTGAGTTTTTCACAACTTATCTGACAAATCTAAACCACAACTACAATATTACATGAGAAGTCGATCACATTAAAGTTTCATAGAAGTTTTTCTGGAGAAGCAGTTGCGCTCATCGAGAGTTATTTAACTGATCGGACTCAGAGTGTTAGCCTCGACGGTGACCAGTCTTCTTCCTTGAGTAGATTATACGGTGTACCGCAAGGTTCTGTGCTAGGACCACTCCTCTTCGCGCTTTATATATGTGATTTTCACGAATTTGTAAGACTAAGTGAAATACATCATTACGCGGATGATACCCAGTTGTATATGTCGTTCAATTTCAGTGAAGTGAAAGCAGCTGAGAGACATATAAACGATAATCTTCAACTGATATTTAATGTTTCGAGTGCTCACAACTTAAAATTAAATTCCAAGAAATCGCAGGTTATGCTGTTTGGTGCCAAAAACAAAAGAAATACCGTGCGTGACTCACTTTCTATATGCATCAACAATGACGTAATTCCATTTGTAAATGAAAGCAAAAACCTAGGTTTATGGATTGATACGGATCTGAGATTTACAAAACACGTCAATCATTTATGTAAAGTATCTTATAATGTACTACGGCAGTTATATCCTAGTAGACACTTAATGTCAAAAAAACTGAAACTGAGTCTATGCAAGTCCCTGATATTTTCAAGATTAGCCTACTGCGACTCTATTTATGGACCAGCTTTACAACAACAGAATGTTTCACGGCTGCAAAAAATTCAAAATAGTTGTATTAGATTCTCATATGGGTTACGAAAGTATGATCATATTAGTACCTCCATAGATTGTACCTCGTTTGAGGATTCTGGTTGGCTAAAAATGAAACAGATAAGAGAAATGCACCTCCTCACCTTCACGCATAAAATTTTGCATTCAAGAACTCCACCATATTTACGTAGGAAATTGGTTCCACTATCACAAAATGCAACTTCCCGAAATAAACATTACTTGCTGATTCCTAGACATTCTATCGCAATGTATACACGAAGTTTCTCTTATAACGCTGCTAAACTGTACAACAGTATGCCAATTGATTTCAAAGATTTTAGTTTACAAAATTTCAAAAAACGATTGAAAAGTTATGTTCAGAACAAGGCACTGATAATTCAATGACGTTTGCAGTGGTTTCCGGAATTCAAAATTTGATAAATATTTGAAAAATTAAATAAATACTCCAATGTTGGAATATTTAGTTTTATAGTATATGTACATGAATTATATTATTTTTCTTTGTTTGTCAATACTATATATATATAATATATGTATTTGAAGGTTAGGTTTAAAAACAGCTTCATCAGCTGAACCTCGCCCATTCGTCATTCATAACATGTTTTTTTTTTACAGAATTATGAATAAAGCCTATTATTATTATTATTATTATTATTATTATTATTATTATTATAAGTAAAACGAGAAGGAAAATAAAATTTATAACACTTTATATCCACATAAACTATTCGAAATGGGCTCTATTGGCCATTATAAATATAACATTAGTGAATTCTTCAACATTATGAAAATCCGAGTGAAAATCCCACTGAAGAGACCTATATCCTAAACTTCAGTAATAAGTAGGGCCTCCCCGATTTAACAAAACCTCAGGACAACGGATAGGCATAGATTCTATGAGGTTGTTGATGTATATTGATATCGCCCCCCATTCTTCTGATACAGCTTGGATAAGGTTGTCATTAATTTTGGGGTGCCTTTCGCCTTCTCGATAGGTTGAGTATCATTCGGCTCCAGTTGGATCTTCATAATGCTGAAGAATTCACATATTTCGCCAATAGAGCCCATTTCGAATAGTTTTAGTGGATATAAAGTGTTATAAATTTTATTTTCCTTCTCGTTTTACTTCTATGAAATTTTTATGTGATCGACTTCTTATGTAATATTGTAGTTGTGGTTGAAATTTGTCAGATAAATTTTGAAACACTCAGTACAAGCACGAATCTGTGATTAGGACTATAGAAAGGCAAATTTCTATTCCTCAAGTTGGAACCCCTTGATTGGGTACGAAAGTACCAATATTTTCATGAGATAGAGAATAGGAATTCTCAATGTATCATTTCTTGTACGCTTCCATTCGTTTCACAGGGTCCTAGAGGTTTCACTGGCCCCAGAGGGATTCCAGGCCTGCCAGGAGCGCCGGGCATTCCAGGAGTGGAGGGCCCGCCGGGCAGCAAAGGGCATCCCGGCCCCACGGGGCAACCCGGCCACCCGGGACAGCCGGGGGCGACCGGAGCAGTCGGCCCACCGGGGCCCCAGGGATTGCTCGGGCCTCCGGGAATAATTGTAAGTCCTTAAGAATACACTAGCCAGTTGAATAACTATGCACGGCCGAGTCAATTTAAAAACACAAATGATTATTGCTTGAATTTGTTTTATAAAAATAAAATGTCTTCATCGAAAATTGATTTATTTTAATGAGTAACATGGGTACTTAACATGAATCTTTGGTAGGAGTTTGAATTCGTCATCATACCCAGTTAATATTTTCATGAACTCACAGAAGGTTCACATCTACCTACAGTGTTATTGTAATATGAGATCATTTGATCTCTGTAGTAAAATTAATTGTACATATATAATATAAATAGTTCTGTGTTCTCATGAAAATAATATACATTGAAGTCCGATAAATCTTTCCTTGTCTAACCTCTAGTCAGAGATTAGTCACTCTCGATGTTATTCGTGATAGAAAATAACACGTCACTCCACCTGACGGTAAATAGGTACTTGAACTCTGAGCGGTTTGTTTTGATAATGTGACCAATAACAAAGCCAATAAGCACAGACAAAAAACAAATGTGAACCAATGAAAACAAAGTAAACATGCCGCTTTGACAGGTTTCAAGAACTCTGTTGAATTCCAAAATAGTTCAGTGACATAAACTAGATGTTAAACAAGGAAAGATTTATCGGACCTCTCTATATTTCAATGTAGCCATGTTGGTAGCATTGAAGAGAAAGATGGAAGAGGAGAGAACTTTCCAGTTTCCACTCTCTTGTTCATGGTAGAAGAGGACTCAATTCGTCCATCACATTTTGGTCTTTGAGTATAGGTACCTTCTCAACTTCTACAGCCATAGATAGATTTATTTAACCAATTTACATTTAGTGTTTGGCAAGTCATGTACAATACAAATACAAGTACATTAGCACAGTATATTATTCTTTCACATGAAAGGATAATATACTGTGGCCATAGTTGAGTCTCCAAATCTTTGCTCTCATCAATCTTTCAGATTGGAAACAAGAAACTACTTTATGGAAGACTATATATGTATATACAATATATTTCAGATCAATACTAGACAAACAATATAGGTAGATATCACAAAAAATCTAGGAGATAATATATTCCTCATTTCATGAAAAATCACAGGCCTTTACTTTAACATCAATAAACCAAAATACAATAGTGAGAGGTGGTACCTCAATATAAGGTCTGATATTCATTTCCTTTGGATACAATTTGGGCATTTTATTTCCAGGTAACATTTTCAGAGGTTTTCCATTCATCAATATTGTCTTTGATTTCAAGGAACCATAAGAGGTTAAATGAAAACCATAAACTTTAAGATATTCCATTGAAACATTGGGAAATATTCCTTCTATTCGAATTTTTGCAATTTTTTCATCAAGGTTCATTCCAAAGAGAGTGATTGAATTTGGAAAATCATGCATGCAGTGAACATAAAATCTGACTTTTGGGGAACTCACCAAATTGAAAGGAACTACCCTGTTACCAACCAATCTGGTATAGAAGATACTAATCCACCAGTCAGGATTGGGGTCATAGTTATCATCAAGCAAGGAATAGTTGCCGCGAAAAATTGACTGTCTCATTAATAAATTTATGCCCAATTTAGCTGAGAGTCCCAGTTTGTCTAACCAAAGGAATGAACCAACAAAAGTGTCAGTTAAGTTAGGGGCACCTCCACCATAAGCAGAGGCAGTTTCACCCAACCAAAGTGGTTTATCAATAATATTTGAGGATCTAACAATTTCCTGTGCTTTTTTTATCTGAAATTCAAGGTAATTGAACACCTCAGGATTTAAAAAATCCTCAAGTGAGGCTGTACGACCATTCAAATAGTATTGATGGAAAGTTATTGCATTGACAATATGCCCTGCATTTTTTACAAACTCTTTTAGGTAGATTTCACTTTCCTTGTGATTGTCCTCTGGTCTTGTAACATCTGGACCAACTAGTAAGGAATCCTTGTACATTGGAAATTTATTGAGAATTGCCCTCAAGGTTCCAAAATCCTTAGCCATTTGGGTAGCATTCACAGTCTCATTGAATTTATGATGGAATGAATTGGGTTCATTGCCCAATTCCCAATTAACTTCAAGATTGTGGTCATTGGAGAATTGAATCAATGTCTCTGCATTCCTATAGTCCCAAGAACCATTTGTGAACCTTATCAGAGAATTCAAATCAAAGAAAACATCAAGCACAGCTTTTTTGGCAAAAGTAGTGAGCATCAACCACTGGGTGCCTGTCATAGTGTAATTTGGAAAAAGTGGAATGTATGAGAATTCACTTTCATCATAATAGGTTCTATAATACTCCTGAATATCATCCTCAGTTTCACTAACTGAGAAAAATAACTTATCAGCTAAGTTTCCTCCTATCCTGATATATGCAGGTGAAAGATATTGAACCATTGTGATCAACTTTTCATTAGTCATATTGAAATGCTTAAATCCCTCTGCTATAATTGCACTGTCCAATCCCATGCTAAGAAATCGTTCATTTGTTTGATATACAGCAGGTTTTTGACTCTCAATATGAATTATTTGTATGGGATCCACTGTCCTTGTGAGTAACAGCCTGATAACTTGTACTGCAGAAATGAATGTGATGGAAATTATTAGCAGTAAAAAAATGGTCCCACATATTAGCAGTAAATCATTCACTTTTCTCTGGCGCTCGCACTTTATAAGCCTCTTCGTTTCACACATGATTTTGAATTTCAGTTCTTAGTTCTTCATCATAAAGTCTTAAAAAAACTTGAAAGTTTCGAAAAAGTTTGAATAAAAGTCAAAACATTCAAAGCTACATGTCAAAACAATAAACATAACCCATTTCTTCTTATTATTTTATTATGTTTGTATTCGATGTCAACCGAACCTCTAAGTACCTGTATGACTAATGATCCTAATGTCATATGCTCATGGTCCTAATGTCCCAGATGAAACAAGAAGAAGTTATAATCTTCTTTTTCTTTGTACATTTGTGCACTGGTACTGTACCAAAATGAACATAACTTCTTCTTCTACTTTCGACTACTACCGCTACTACATTACTAATCTTTTGAAATGTTCGTAATGTGTTTATTTTATTCTTTCATATATTTAGGGTCCTCGTGGAAAACCAGGAATCCCTGGGCTTCCAGGCGCTGAAGGCCTACCAGGAGCAAACGGCAACCCGGGAATAACAGGTTCAAAGGGGGAACAGGGACCAGCAGGACCCCAGGGCTCCATTGGCTTCCCTGGAGCTCGCGGTGTCAAGGGGGATGAAGGCAATCGAGGGTCGTCTGGTGAAAACGGTGATAGGGGCGATAGGGGATTGGAAGGCGAGAAAGGAGAGCCAGGAGCCAAAGGAGATGCTGGCAGTCAAGGACCCCAAGGAACTCCTGGGTTGGAAGGGCCAGAAGGTCCTAAGGTTTGTTTTACGGTTCTTTTACCTACCTACTGATTCAATACATTTGGGTATATTTTTCTATATAACATAATATAAAATAGTTAATATCCCCGCAAACACAGTTACATCACGGAGATATCGCAGCGATGTAAAAATTGTGACCTACGATATCGCATTCTTTGTCGCATTGACGTCGCTGCAATGTCAGAAGGATGTAATTTTATCCCACTCGTGTTTCATACATGCGACATTGCTGGGATATAAGTTCTCTGCGATATAATAGCGATATATTTTTTGCAATATATGTAATTGGGATATGTTATTTGTGATGAAAAAGCGATGTTTTTGCAATGAAACAATGATGTGATAAGAGATGACATCGCAGTGGAACAAAAAAAGTTTTGTCAAACATGGTGTGATAGGTAATGTTGGTACACCACTGATTTCTGATGATATATAATATTATTAATATTATATGTGTGTTGATGTGTGACTGGTTGGTTATTGTCCCTCGAGTCCCCTGTCCATTATTCAATCGTCTTTTCAGCGGCGCTATCCTTTGGTACCCACAAATCTCTATCAAAATGAGATCGGTTTCTCATGTTAAAAAATTATGTAGTGTCGTGTCGCCGAGATGTAAGCAAACCGAGAATAATTTGATAGCAATATATGTTACCGCACGACGCACGTTTGCGAATTTATAACTTCACTTTGTTGAGTAACGTATATTTATGTATTCTTTGTCACTGAACACGAATGTAGATAAAGGTAACAATTTTTTGAAAAAATCTAGCTGATGAGTTTGCTTCTGTACAGCGATGCAACATTCGTGATATCGCAGTGTTGCCTCATATGGCGACATCTCACAGATGTCATGTCGCAGATGTATTTGCTTCGGTACATCGCAGCGATGGAACATTCGTGATATCGCAGTGTTGCCTCATCGTTTCATCCCAGAGATGTCATGTCGCAGATATGTGTTTGGTTTTGTACATCGCAGCGATGGAACATTCGTGATATCGCAGTGTTGCCTCATCGCGACATCTCAGCAGAGAAGTCACGTCGCAGATGTGTTTATTGCTTCTGTACATCACAGCGATGGAACATTCGTGTGTTCGCTTATAAACATCGCAGTGATGGAACGCAGTGGACATCTCAGAGATGTCATGTCATAGATGTGTGTTGGCTGAGAAATTTATAGATTTTGATATTTTTTATAGGGCTTTGATGGTCCACGAGGAGAAGCAGGTCAGATTGGATCCCCTGGTGAAAAGGGAAAAGAAGGTATTCAAGGTCTCATTGGGTATCCTGGTACCACTGGGGAAAAGGGGGATAAGGGCGCTACTGGACGGACTGGTCCAGATGGTATTAAAGGAGAGAGGGTGAGTATAACCAGGAATTTTCAAATATCATAATTTTTACTTACAAATGATACTCATGTTCATCAGTTTTCCCAAATTTGTATTTTCATTATCTACTTGTAATGTTTTGACTCAAAATATGAGAGGAAGAACAATAAGAATAATTTCAAACTTCAAAAGCGCACAGTTTGTAGTTCGCGGTCAGATATACTTGGAAAGTGCTCGAAAAACTCATCCTACATGATACGGATTTGCAAGCGCATCTACGTTGGTGGCTGAGTGCTCCCATCAATGATTCATTGAAATTTGTTGCCACTGTAGCACTTCTTATAGTCAATCATTTAATCGCCGGCAATGTTTATTACGGCCGGCTGGCGGCCGCCTGGACACCTCGACGCCGGGAAGGCATTACATTTTCGATAGTCGGCCGTCAGTTCTCAAGGAGATCGGTGTTATCTGGGATGCGGGTAAGAATCTGCTGCCGGCTCTCCTACAACAAATTCTCCACTGCTGATGTTGATGGACCAGAGATTATTGATGATATTTTGTCTCTATTTCCAGGGCCACCCCGGCACGGCGGGCGAGCGCGGCGACACCGGCCCCCGGGGCTTCCGCGGGGCGCGCGGCCGCCGCGGCTCTGACGGTCTGCAGGGCCCCAAGGGCGACACGGGCCAGCCGGGCGCGCCCGGGCCGCAGGGCGAGGCGGGGCCGCCGGGCGCGGAGGGCGCGAGGGGATTCGCGGGGGCGCCCGGGGCGGCCGGGCCAGGGGGGAAGGACGGTGGTGCGGGGATGCCAGGGGAGAGAGGCGCGCCGGTGAGTATAGTTGACGCTTCAAATATTGTGAGCGAGCCGTGCGGAAATACAGAAAATTTCTCTAGCTGCTATCGATGATATCGTAGGGCATTTCTCAAACTGCGGATAAAGCACTAGTTGAATTTTCTTGTTATGTCTGAGTTGATGACTGTTATTCAATTTCTAATCATTTTCACTAAACTTACGTATAAAAATAGCGCCAACGAATAGTTGCCACAACTAGAGACGTTTTATTGGGAGCATGTCAATTAAATCCATTAGACCTCTTGTAATGACAATAATGTCTGAAACTATGATAATTAACGCAGACGAGTGAATTTCAATCATATTACTGAATATACTTGTTAATTATAATAACACAGTTCATGATTCATGCCTATTGAGTTACTTCAAGAATACAATAGAAGAATACAATTACAGTAATTGAATTTCGCAATGTTAGTAACAAAAGTACTCAATGACGCTTATTCAACACTGCAAGTGAAATAATACACATTGATTCATGACCGTGATTCGCCCGCGGTGTACCCTGTACCCTTCAAGTCATGCTTTATTAAATCATCTAGTAACTGTGTTATTGGGTCAACGTAGCAAGATGAATTGAATAGCATTAATGAGACAGCTGGGCTGTCTCCTATTTAATTGAAGTTTTTTATGAAGGTTATTCACTTTCTAATAATCGTTATTCGATTTTTTTCTCAGTGCAAGATCGAATGGATTTGTATTTCGATAATCATCAATACACTTGTTGTATTACACACGATCATTTCAGGGCGAACCAGGCAAACCGGGCCCGGCGGGAGCACCAGGCGTGATCGGCCCGCAAGGCCCGACTGGGGAGCCGGGCCCCATCGGCGAACCGGGCGCCCCCGGCCCGCCCGGGGTGCCCGGAGAGGTCGGCCTGCCCGGCGAGACGGGCAAGGAGGGCCCGCCCGGGCCGAGCGGGCCGGCGGGCGGACAAGGGCCGCCGGGGGCCGCGGGGCTGCCGGGGTTTCCGGGGGAGCGGGGGCACAACGGGTTGCCGGTGAGTATGTGTCTAAGCTTTCCGTTGAAAATGCAGATTTGGAAAACTAACTCAATTGCCTTTATGGCCTTGGTGGAAGGAATAACACATATAAACAAGACTATGTGAATTGCAAAAAAACAATATGAAAAGAGTTTATTGAAGGCACACATCGATACCATAGTTCAATTGGGATTCTAACCTCCATTTACCCACGCTGTCATTCTGTCAAAAATGATATTTTTTGACGCCAAATAATCATATAATAATCAGTCACACAATTGAATGAACAATCATTATAACCTTCAATACTACTACCAAATGATCACACTCAGAGATAATACACTCTCACACTTGATGATCACGTGATATATGCCGTCAGATGGCACATTGCTTAGCATTAAAACACAATAGTGTAACATTTCAAAAATCATAGTTTCGAGAAAATCTCAATTGAAAATTCAGCTCATAATAATTTTAATGCAATTTTGAAATTTATGTCCCAAGGATATAAAATATTAGCCCTGTCATAGTAGGTTTCTATTCACTTCCTTAAATCCACAAATTTACAAGAAAAAAAACTTTTGGTAAAAATGATTTTGTTCGGACTTGTTACACTATTGATCTGAATTATATTATTGATAATATAGAGCTCTGTGATCAAAAGTTATCATCAATATTTTTGTTCTAGAATTGTTCTAGAATTGTTGTTCTAGAATTGTTCTATCCGTCATTCGGTTGCCCCCTTACGAGCAACCCTCAAAAGTCTTCGAAAGTCTTGTGCGAGCAAGGAATGACGGGGGCCTTACCTTTTAACGTGTGATCCCAAACACTCATATTAGATGAGTAAATACAATAACTACAATCACTACAGGAACAAATGAAGTTAACCATTTTGAGCTATGCAGTGTAACAACTCTACAGTTCAAAACTGTAATAAGTTTTGATTATTGTATCAAGTTATTACAGTATGGAATTATATGGAAATGGAGTTTCCTTCAGTTCTATAGAGTAACTATAGCGCCATCTCTTGGTCAGTACTAGAACTTTCAGTTGTTACAGTATGGCACGTGAAAGCTAACAAAATGATACAACTCAAAATGTTTTTTTTTTTTCGATATGTTATACTATTGAACTATGGTATCGACATGGCCAGTCAAAATACTGATAGATGATAATAATTAAGAATCGTAATAACATTATATGGACTCAATTACGAGGCATTGAAAATCAAGAAAGATATTATAATAGGTCAATCAATTCAGTTTGTGAATAAATGAATAGAAGTTGGAATTTTTTTTTCCTATCGCGTTCAACACCTACTTTCAATAAAGGCGATAAAGGTTCAGTAAATAGAACAATATCCACCATACCTATATTATCAAAAATATCAGAGAAAGCTTATAAGAAACGATTAGTTGACTATCTGGAAAGAAAATGTTGAATCCTGAGCATTATACAGTATAGAGAACCATGCGGCCCAAAATAGAGATATAGGTAGGTAATTACAACCTTGTCCTTATAGCCCGAGCCAGCGACATTTTCAATGTATTATTTGATAAAGTTTGGTTCATTTTATTATCTGTTGTCATATTGCTCATCAACAAAATCCACTCCTGCCACCTCAATCGCATGACAGCGCTTATCAATGTTGTTAGGAAAAAAAAACGAGTAAATGACAAACATGATCGATAGGAGCTGAAACTTTACCAATCGTTCGATCATATCAGTTAGAAAAAAAAATCACCTCCAGCCACCTGTTTAGTAGTACACTATACTCCTGCCATAGACCTAATTATTAAAAAAATGTGTCTCAACGTACCATAAACTCTACAGGGTGCACTACAGACCTGAATAGGCCGATCGAAATCAACTTACCTCTATACGAAAATGCACCATTGAGTCGTGAGAGGGCACTAAAGAACAATTTTATTTCCAGATTTTCTTGAGTATTTCAAAGTCCTTGAATGGTACTGCTCTAAAATTCGTAGGTCAAATTTAATTCAGACTGTTTGTCCAAACTGTTTTGATGTACTATAAAGTATAGTACGTAATGCGTGTTGTAAAGCAATTACGCACTCCGCGGCTGCGTGCGTTACTTTCCCATTCGTGTGTAATATGCTTCTTACAACACATATTACGTAATATACAGTGTGACCCATTTTTAATGGAAACATCCCTGTATCTTACGTAATCGTTGGGTTAGGATCCTGAAATTTGCTGGAGCGAGAGATATACCAAAACCATGACCAAGTGTTGTCATCTTCAGTGTTATACACTGCTCGCCAACAGCCATGGAACCACCCCAATTTCCGGAAAATGATATTAGGAGTCAAAATAGGTTGAAAATCACTTCGAATTCGGAATCAGGACGCCCAATTCACTAACTATTCATATTTTTCCTGAAAAATTTTCAGTTCTGAAAAATTAAATTTTTGTGGCACTTTTTACGGAAGTACCCCTGTATCTTACGTAATTATTGAGGTAGGGTTGTGAAATTTGCAGGAGGAAGGGAAAGTCCAAAGATAGAGTCAATTACGTAAGATACGGGGGTGCTTCCGTAAAAAGTACGACAAAATTTAATTTTTCCGAACTGAAAATTTTCCAGGAAAAATATGAATATTTAGTGAATTGAGCGTCCTGATTCCGAATCGGAAGTGATTTTCGACCTATTTTGACTCCTAATATCATTTTCCGGAAATTGGGGTGGTTCCCTGGCTGTTGGCGAGCAGTGTATATCACTGAAGATGGCCCCACTTGGTCATAGAGTGCATTTTTGGTATATGTCTCGCTCCAACAAATTTCAGGATCCCTACCCAACAAGTACATGAGATACAGGGGTGTTTCCATTAGAAGTGGGTCACACTGTATATACTATTCCATGCATATTTACGATAGTGATTTGTATTACGAATTTTAGAGCATTACCATTCAAGGATTTTGAAATATTCAAGGAAATCTGAAAATAAAACATCATTCTTCAGTGCCCTGCTCTCACGGCTCAACGGAGCATTTTCGTATAAAGGTAAGTTGATTTCGATCGGCCTATCCAGGACTCAGTTCACCCTGTAAAAATTAGGGTAGGTTGTTCTGGGACATTTTTTCTTCTCATAATTAGGTCCATGGCAGAAGCACATCGTTCTACGAAACAGAGGTGGCAGGAGGTATTTTTTTTCTAACTAATATGTCATTGAACGATTGGTAAAGTTTCAGCTTTTATCATGTTTCTCTTTTTTTAACAACATTGATAAGGTACTGATAATCGTTGTCCCGATGGTGCGCTGGCAAGAGTTGATTTTATGTCTAGAAGGCGTTAATTTAACACGTAAATAATGAAATCATCATTCTTTATCAAATTTGTCAAAAAAAGTCGCTATCTTAACTATTATAAACAATCTGAGAATATTTTGAAAACGACTTTTATTCGTGGTGTCGCAACAAAATATTATTCTCTGTCGCTGTTGGCACATTCTCAAAGGATTTCCCGATGTGTGGGCGATACTTTTTTTTTTGTGTCTCATCTGACTTTGCAAAGACTATACTAAGTTTAGTACAATTTATCTTTGGATGGTTTTTGATAACTTTTTTATTGGATAGAATGCAATTTTTGTTGCATGCAAAAAAAACTTGTGATGTTGATTTGATTTTTAAAGTTATTTCTATCATGTCGATTCATATATGTTATTATATGAATGTAGATTCATTTTTGTAATGTTCATTAAGTTAGAGTATTAGCAATATTCAATCTGGAACCACACTTTGAATTGAGTACAATGCATTTCAATTTAGAACAATTATATCTCTCATATTTTAGTATTTTCATCGCGATCCTTAGAACATCACTGATTCGATGGTACAGGACCCACCCAGTATATTTAATTTTCTTCTTCCAAAAGGGTATGCCTGGTCTGAAAGGGGACACTGGTCCGATGGGTCTGCCGGGAGCTGTCGGCGACAAAGGTCAACAAGGCGAGCCAGGCAAGGATGGACCCTCGGGGCCAGAGGGTCGCCAGGGGCCTCCGGGGTCTGTGGGGCCTAGTGGCTCTAAAGGAGAAAGGGGTGAAGCTGGACCACCAGGTAGGCAGTTTATTATAGTTCAGTGTGACTGTCAATTTTTTTTGTACAAATGTGGGGAACATTTTTTTTTTAACCCTATGTCATTTTGTAAAGTGATTTCCGTTTCAAAGTGAAAGAAATTCCTATGACGAAAGTAACATTTTTTGAAGTGATAGAACAGTTTGTTTTCGAACTTCAAAACATTTTTTTCATCGAGTGGAACACTATACTTTTTCTACAACGCCAATTATATCATTCTCCAGGAGTGGCAGGCAGAGACGGACTTCCTGGTCTCAGAGGCCTTTCTGGGGCTCCTGGTCCAGTCGGATCGCCAGGAGAAGACGGCGACAAAGGTGATATCGGTCCGCCAGGAGAAAAGGGTTTCAAAGGGTCACAAGGAGAAGCGGTCAGTAAGAGCTGTATTATCAATTATTTAGCTACTTCGAAAATGTAGCCATTCCATGATCTTCGAATAAACTATTTCTTTTACTACCAAAAAATAATTAAATAAAATCAAACATGATTTCAAACTTCACGATTCGATCAGAAAAAATTTAGCCCAATTGATCGTACAATAAATAACTATCTTAATTCTTGTCCTATTCTGGACCAACTCGCAGATTTATGAATTTGGGTGTTAGCCCGAATTTTAGTTCCCAAAAAAGCTCATGGCTTGATCATTATACAGGAAAAAGAAAAATTAATATGTAAAAGTGAGCCGAGCGCGGCCATTATTGAACTTGAGTGAGGGTTGCTGGGCTGTGTACACGTGTAAATATACCAAAGAAGGAAAGATTTATTTTGTATAACGTGCAAGATAATTTATTTTATTCATAGCAGAGCGCTTTCGACAGTTAAGTCATCATCAGTGCATACTCGTCAGGTTAACAGGGAAATTTGTCCATAAAAATATCTTTGGTCCAGTTTAAAACTAACGACATTGAGGTAAAATATGTTACAAACAAATTAAAATGTGTTTCCCAAAAGGGGGTAAAATACGGATTACATTTTGTTAAGCAGCCATTGTCGCTGCGACATGTCGTGTTGAAGTTGATCAACACAAGTTTATATAGACTTAGACTAGATTTGTCATAGGAATACGTCACTCGAATATTTCAACGTACTTATGGTTACACCCTGTATGTGTTCAAGCTGTTGAAGTCCTGTATAAAAAAATTGACTTACCCTTGATGTATGCTTCCAGGGCCCAGCGGGAAATCCGGGATCGCAGGGGGTACGAGGGGAGCCGGGCGCTGTGGGGCCTCAGGGCGACCGCGGCCCCCCGGGAGCCATGGGCAGGCGAGGGACGAAAGGGGAGGACGGGCTGAAGGGGCTGCCCGGCCCGGGGGGACCGGCGGGGCCACAGGGGATGCCCGGGCCGATGGGGGTGAAGGGGGAAATCGGGGATGTCGGTAAGTGTCCACAGCTGACAGAAGATTAGTGAATTATACAGGGTGTTAACAAATGAGTGTCACAACGGAAAACTGTAGATTCCTCATGGAAAAAAACATTTTTTTCCCTGGGCTTCCGTTTTCAAGATACAGGGTGTCAAAATAATACAAAAAAATCTGTTTTTTGCTGCTATCTTAGGAACCGTTCAAGCTACGGAGCTAAGCCTTCATACACACTTCATCATCAATAATGACTACTTTTAGGGCTCTTGATCAATTTCCGTGGACATGTCAGTGGAGGAGAATTCAACGCTCCGTCAGGGTTCAACCCCAAAAACATTTATGCCACTGGAGAAATTTCAATTTCCGTTGTGACACTTATTTTTTAACACCCTGTATACAGTATCATACATTATTGTTGATTAATAGAGTATCTTGAAATTTTTCATTGGATACTGTTTTGTAAAGCATACTTTTACATGCTTGATTTTAGTCCGGTAAGTAACTTATCACGGTATTGAGTCCGGTAAAAAAATTAACAGGTAAGCCATCACAACATCAGCTTCGTTAATAATTTCAAGTCTGTTCAATTTCCATTGAGAAAATAACTTAACGAGATGACAGTTTTTTGTGTGTCATGTATTTCCTCAGGAATTAATGAATTTTCTTGTACCATTCTACAAATCAACTTCCCCAAAAAATTAACGCACTACCAAAAAGTATCCAAAAGTTTGAGATATACATTTTTGCAAAAACTAATTGTCCCATTTGGAGGTTTTTGTTTAGTATGACAGAGGTTATATCAACTCCTGAATATTGGCGTGTAAACTGTATTCGCATAACAACTTCTTTTTTATGAATACTGGGTGTAGCAATTATAGTGTAATGATAATAATAATAATAATAATAATAATAATAATAACCCGACTGATCTGGTCGTCAGAACTGTCGCGAAAGAACAAAGTCGCTGCTACTAACATGCTTGCTGTTCAGATCCTACTTTACTCATTTGATTTGGAGTGATAAAGTGGAATCAGGTCGAGCTCTGCGACAACTTGACGTAAGTACTCGCAAGATGATGCATCTCCATGCATAGGAGTCTGCATCCAAATTCGTCCGTTCCACGGTTATACATACCTTGAGACCTGGGTGGTCGTGGACTCGCGAGCTTGGAGTATGTTCATAACAGAATGATTCTGGATGGCGCCTGTAAAGTCATCAGGAGTTCGGATCCCCTCCTGCAAATGGTTAAATCCCATGAAGAGGCAGGAGTAGGGGCTTTTCTTTTTAGGGCAGCACGTTCGAGCAGCCGACGAATCGTCTCTGATTTTCGACACCGAGCGCGAGGCTCAGGACTCAGTTATTGAGCTAGAGTCCGCTAGAAAAGTGAGAAAGCTCCTGCAGCTTCACATGGATAAGCCCATGCATTCGGTCTACTTCAAGGCCATTGAAGATCGGGGCTTATCAAAAGAACTGACTTTTGCTTTTCTCAAGTCAGGCGGGCTCAAATCTGAAACAGAGGGGTTCATCATGGCATGCCAGGATGGGGTTTTTAACACTCTCGTATACCGTATCCGTGTCATGGGTATGGAGGTCCCTGACGCAAATTGCAGAGCCTGCCGCAGGACGCCCGAGACCTGCTGTCTTCACACACAGTGTATGCAGTCTCGGCCTATATCCATAGACACAATGCGGCATTGCGGGTTCTCTACTATCACTTGAGGCACTCGTACGGAATAGACGAGACCCCAGTGCTGCCCTATGCTCCGGGGGATATTGAGTACGTTTTGGAGAATTAGAGGTGCCGGATTTATTGGAACTTCTCATTCGCCACCCTCAGGCAAATACAAGCTAACTAGCCTGATGTAGTCCTCCTCGAGCATCAAACCAAAGCGATGTTCGTGATCGAGTTTTCGGCGCCAGCTGAACCGAACACCGTTTTGAAGGAAGAGGAGAAACCGACTAAATATCGCGATCTTCTCCTCGAACTCCGCAGGCTCTATCCAGACCATTCTGTGGAATTGCTCATCCTGATAATCGGTTCCCTATAGGAGGCACCCGACATTCACTGCTCTCGGAAATCCAGAAAATTCCAGCGTGCCGCGATGAGGCATACATCCTGGCTGGTGGAATGCAGAAGGCCGTCATACTAGGATCATTGCGTTTACTCAGGGCACACGGTTCTTGGTCCCAGTGATTATTCAACCCACAGGCTTTGGGGAGTAGTCACTGGATTTGAGTCGGAGGCCGCATTCAAATGAACAACAATAATAATAATAATAATAATAATAATAATAATAATAATAATGCCCTGTACTATGCATCAGTTACATTATCAAGTTAAAATTGCATTACACTTTTAGCCTTATCATTCCTAAACCAAAAACACTTTTCGCATGTGGAATAATTATTCTTCATAATAATTACTCACACTTCTCGATGTGTCTATACAGTATGAAATGAGATGTAAGTACTTGTTTCAATATATCAAACAACGCCGATGTGATAAATGTACAATATGAATTTCATATTATAATCAGCTTAAATGATCTCAATCTTCAATGGTAATTATTAGGGACATGTTCCGTACTCTTAGAATTTCGAATTCAGATTTTACGATCAAATAACTTCTATAACAAAATAAAAAGTCACTTTTTTGGAAATAAAAATAAGTGAGATCAATTATTTTCTTTGACTCACATATTTTTTAGGCCAGAAGGGTCCTCCTGGTCCAGCAGGATCTCCAGGAGAGCAAGGCGTCCGAGGTCCCAAAGGCGCCGAGGGAATTCCAGGTCCGTTTGGACCAGAAGGAAAGCAGGGTAGCAAAGGGGATGATGGACCGCCCGGACCAGTTGGCCCCCCTGGACAAGACGGAAAAGATGTATGAAATTTATCATTTTTGTTGATAAGATTAGATAAGTGTAGCGTTTTCCACAAGTGGCACTTGCTCGGTTTTTTTCATAAAGTGCTTTTCCAGCACGAAGCAGGAGAAATCAAAATTGATCACCTTAAAAGCAGTATCAACATCAACTGAAAAGTCAAATTATCCGAGATATTATCTATGCAAAATGTGTTTTCTCTATACCAAATATATTCAAAACATTTCTCTAATGCAAGTTTTGTTCACGCAAGGAACTTTCAGGTAGGTTTGAATATTTGGTGAAAGCTGTTTCATTACCGACGAATTTCAATTGACTTTCCATCTTCACTTGACCCTAAAAATCTATGAATTCAAGAATTAACTTCAATAATACATTGTTACTTTATTTGTTGGCAGACGGAACACTTATTTATGATCAACTCATCACTACTATTTTGTCTCCTTATATATTTGTTGCCTTATTGATTTCTGGAATATTCTCAGCGAGCACAAACATCCCTGGGATGTTTTCTTGAAACGTAGTATGCACTTCCCAAAAATGTCTTGGAAGGATATTGAAGTATTGTTCTTGTTCTTCTGTGGAATTTCTTTGGTTGCCTACTGAGAGGTATCCTTGGGATGTTTTGGAATGTTTTACAAATGTAGGCACCAGGATGTTTTTTTGAGAAGTAATATGTATGCACTTCCCAAATAGGTCTTCATAGGATATCGAAAGTATCTGTGGAATTCCTTCATTCGGATTCTTAGGAAGTATCCCTGGGATGTTTTGAAAATGTTTAAAATTGATTTAGGTTTCTAACGATACAGTCCTGATACCAGATGACATATAATATTGATTATGCATTTGTTGAGTCTGCTTGGTGGTGCCTCCGTTGTCATGTCCATTCAATCGTCTATTCAGCAGCGCTATCCCTCAGTACGCATCTCTCGCCACACTTCAATACTAAACATAATGAAACTGATTTTAATTGCTCAATTTTGCCACAGGGCGTTAAGAAGTTGAGGGTAAAAAAGTTACTTTTGTTTTTCCCTGTATATTGATTAGGACAATAGATGTTTTTCAGAACAAAATATCAGGCTGATTTTGCGAAACATAATTCTACGCTTTGGTCGAAATTTCATCGAAATCGGAAGAGGATTACGAAAGTTACAGGGCGAACAATTTTGCTGAAAATTTCACTGTCCGGAATTTATTGTCGGGGAGTGTAGTTCCGAAAAATGAGTCAATAATACCGTCTCCGAGAAAGAACTGCAAGTCCTTTTATCTTCCATTCGACTTCGCGGTTACGTATATTACTAAACAACCACTAAATTCGCAATTTTTGAAATCAAATCACAGAATTAGACTGACAGAAGTGACATCAGATATTTGATTACTTCAAAAGAATGATAAAGATGCCTACAACGCAGGTGTCCCTATATTGTTCAAAACTTAAAATTTCACGTCGATAATTTTCAGATTTCAAAATAATGTAACATCTTCTCAATATTGATTCGTCCTTCCTTCTGTCACAGAAAAAATAATGTATTATACACGGGAAAAATATTAGATTTTAGCTCACGGTTTTTTGTCTCCCACCGCTACGCGTCGGGAGACAACACAACCTGTGGCTAAAATCTACTACTTTTTTCCCTTGTATAATTAATAACTATAATCCATGTTTATGTGATCAATTTTTATATTTCTGAGTGGAAAAGCCGCTGGTGAAGTTTGGTTTATTTGAAACATCCTGGTATATAGCCTGTTTAAAATAGTGAAATAGACATTGATTGGTGTAGATTAGTGTTTGTCCGGGTTTTTCCCCTTGTATAATAAATAACTATTTTTTCATTTTCCAGGGCGAGCGAGGTCCGGCCGGCCAAAAAGGCGAAGAGGGCAAGGCGGGCGTCGGAGGTCCGCCCGGCCTGAGGGGCGGCCCGGGCGTCGACGGGCCGAAAGGGTCCGCAGGGCCGCCCGGCCATCCCGGTCCGCCCGGCGAGCCGGGTCCGACCGGACCGAAGGGCGAGCGGGGCAAGGAGGGAGAAGACGGGGCGCGGGGAGAGGCGGGACCGACGGGGGAGCCGGGGGCGGCCGGGAAGATGGGGCCGACGGGGCCGCCCGGGAGACCGGTGAGTTTATACAAAAGCGATGGAAGAGATGTATCACCTTTTTTGCCTTTTGGGACCCATGAACATCCCGTTTGGTCACAAAAATGAAATTAAAAATAAGAAAATTTAAAATACAACTTTGTGAAATTAGTTTAATTATTATACACTTTAGAGAAGTTACTGATTAACAAAGTCATTTTTTTATTATTCAGATAATATCTGGTTAGGAATTTAATTTTGAAAGTTTTTCTCTTTTTCATTTTGATTGGTTTTGATTTGAGTTAGATTTTGTCAAATTTATTCTAATTTCATTCTTGTTCTTTGTTTGATGATAATAGTAATAATGATATCGTTTTTGGTTTTCAATGAATAGGTATTAATTTTTCATAATACCGACCTTATACCAGCAATACTCAATTTTTTTAAATCAAAATACTCCGAATACGGTACACATAATATCGAGTATCATCTTCTTGCCGTGAAATTGAATGTTGTTTGAGTTCACATGGAGTTTGGATTAAAATGTCTAACCTGGAAACAACAGGTTTCTGAACAGATTATTGGTCGAAGAAATCTTTGTTTACTGGTGTAAGTGGCCAGGTAGCCGTGCGGACAGAGTGTCTATATTCTAATTCGCATTCGCTTGCCGGTCGTGGGTTCGATCCCCGTCGACTGCAGAAATTTTTCTGATGGCCCAAGAAAGTGTTTGGGATCACACGGTAAAAGGTAAGGCCCCCGTCATTCCTTGCTCGCACAAGACTTTCGAAGACTTTTGAGGGTTGCTCGTAAGGGGGCAACCGAATGACGGATAGAACAAATTTCAGAACAAATTTTAGAACAAAAAACTTGAATCTGTTGCCATTCTCAAATGTTTCTATAAATCTTGATACATCCAAATCAGGGCGTGGAAGGACCTGCCGGACAACAAGGAAACACAGGACCACCAGGTGAGAAAGGGGACAAAGGATCGCTAGGTGCCCCCGGACTTCAGGGAACTCCCGGAGTTCAAGGAGTTCCAGGACCACAGGGAGTTCAAGGACTCATCGGAGCCCCTGGAGCAGCAGTAAGTATAATCATTTCAATTTCATCATTGAAAAAAAATCGAATGCTTTTAAGGTTTCAAAATCACATACGAAGTGAAATATATAGTAGGCAGAGTACCTCTGGAAATAACAGACATTTTTTGGCTATAAAAACTCATTAATCATGATTTGTTGCTCTCTAAATATGTAAGAAGATTCCTAGTTTGCTTTGAAATAACATGTAGTGTCGAAATATCTGACAAATGAGACACTAACATTAATTTTACATTTTACATTACATTTCAATTCTTCTTGAGAACATCATTTTCTCTTGAAAATGTCAATTTCTCGTCAAGTGAGCATTTCTTTCAACTAATTCTATCGTCAACTTGTCATACAGTGTATTCAGAAAAAAATCTAGAACAGAAGAAAATAAAAGACCATTATTGCCATTTGAAAAAAATGTACAGTCGCTGACATTACAATAATTGAAACTGAAAAAAAAAAGATCGAAGCCTATTCATATAGTATCTTTTCACTTGCTTCTTTCTTTTTCAGAATCAGATAATTGATACCTGTTGCCTTGGGGCGTTTTTTGTCAGTCAGCATGTATGTTTTCCTATAGTTTTCTCTGACATCTCTCGTATGTTGTAGGTGTAGAATCTATTTTTTCGCTATTATCGAACATTTTAAGGAACCAACAAACTTTTATCAAGAATAAAATGCTATAAAGAAATCATAAGAAGAAGAAGATTATAAAAATATTTTCATAATATTATCACGATGTTCTGAATATTCCAGAAAATTATGTCACTTTATTGTTGTACGGCAACACAATTGAGTAAACAATGAAAGACAGAATTATGAGAAGATATTCAGAACATAGTGGTATTTTATTAGACTATTTTACGTTCACGAAAACATCAACGCTGATAGACCAATCAGAATTATTGAAGATGAATTATTGCGATAAGCACACGTTGTCTCTGGTTCGTGATTAGTCAGATTATGTGATGAGTGAAATAGTCATATAAATATTTTTTTGGATTATATGACTCCACGGCTCCTTTTAATAATTTTATAATGTTATTTCCACATGGCCTTGTAGGTATGTTTTTCCTCAACATCTGATTGTTCTGTAAATTAAATCTTTTTACAGGTACTGTGTACTAATGTATCTGAAGATGGCTGTTTGAGCCGAAACTAATCACAATACATCATGTGTAATATAATTTTTGTGGTCGACCGACTTGGTGTATTTCTGTGTATTTCTTTGACTATTCCACTCTTGATCTCGAGAACCAATTAGAATCGACCATTTTCACGGTTTCTTCTGTATTCTAGCGATATTTTTTGTTGAATAAATTTTATCGGACTTGCTCTACCAATTATTGGACTATGGTTATTGAAACACTATTCAAATTCTAACAATTTATATTCACGATGTGTGCTCTACAAAAGATAAACGATTAATAATCTATATTCTCCAACGACTGTCCTCTTATTCATCATGTAACGTAACCATCTGAGTCATGTCTTACTAATGGAATCAGAAGGTATCGATGTATAGGGTGATGCGGTGTAATATCCAGTTTCTAACATCCGGCCATCCTACAAAGTCCTTGTCCTCAAGGTATCGATCTGAAACAAAAATCGGTATTGATGAGTATCTGGACAGTCGGTGTCATTCGTTTTTTTTTTTTTTTTTTTGGTACTTCACGTGTGTTGATAAATGCTCAGTGTTTGAGACGTTTCTTATTAAACAAATTTCTACGGGACTGCTCCTGTGAGGCAGTGTTTTAGAAATTCGCAATGATCCAGGAATGAATTTTCATAAGACTGCACATACAGCGATTCGAAAATGTGTTCGTCATCAATTTCTACCGAATTTCTACAGTACTGACCTGTCGAGGCCAGTGTTTTAGAAATTGCCTAGAATAATGATCTATATAATTTCTTCGTCATCAATTTCTACCGAATTTCTACAGTACTGACCTGTCGAGGCCAGTGTTTTAGAAATTGCCTAGAATAATGATCTATATAATTTCTTCGTCATCAATTTCTACCGAATTTCTACAGTACTGACCTGTCGAGGCCAGTGTTTTAGAAATTGCCTAGAATAATGATCTATATAATTTCTACGGTACTGTCAATGATCCAGTGTTTTAGAAATATATTCGTCATCAATTTCTACCGAATTTCTACAGTACTGACCTGTCGAGGCCAGTGTTTTAGAAATTGCCTAGAATGATGATCTATATCATTTCTACAGTACTGTCATTGATCCAGTGTTTTAGAAATTGCTTACCATATGTCATCGGTTCTTGAAACGAATGGTTTCATGTGTTCCGCTGCTATAACTGCCTCATAGCGTTTGGAAGTTTTGCATCTCTCGGATCCCAAATCGTCCTTGACCTTATAACGATCATTTCCCATTACTTCTTGTACCGTGAATGGTCCTTTGAATTTTTCTCTTAGCTTTTTGCTGGTTCCATCACTTTCGAAGTTCATAACTTTGACAAGCACTTTATCTCCTACTTGATAATCTGGGGCTCTAACACGTTTAGCGTTATGGTATTCATCCTGCTTTCTCCTATTGTCTTCTAGCTTCTTCCCGACTTCTTCTCTTAATTTTGTAACGTCAATTGGTGGTGTTTCCATGACATGATTAACGTAACGATCCCCTGTTGCGCTCAATTTAATGCCAAAAAAAACCTCGGCAGGAGTGCTTCGAGTGGTTTTATTAACTGTACTGTTGAGTCCAAGTTGGATTTTATCGATATTTGTGTCCCACTCATTGGTCTGTACGTTGGCTCCAGTTGCTGCCACCGCATCAAGTATGGTTCTGTTGAAACGTTCTACCTGCCCGTTAGCTCTGGGCATAGCTATGGCTGTATGGTAGTGGCGAATTCCTTTTTCTGTGCAGAACTTTCGGAGTTTTGAAGATGTAAAGGCCTTTCCAGCATCGGAGACCATTCGATAAGGGGATCCAAAAATACTGATAATATTATTCAACTGATCAATCACTGGTTTACTTTTAGTATTGGGTACTGCAGAAACAAAAGTGAATTTTGTGAAAGCGTCTACAATTACCAATAAATATTTGTTACCACGTTTGGTTTCTATGAATGGTCCAACGTGGTCTATATGCAGGGTATGAAACGGGCGGGCATATTTAACAATAGAAAATAAGAAACCAGGCTTTTTACCTGCCTGTACTTTATGGTATTGGCAATGTAGACAAGATCTTACATATTTAGTAATGAACCTCCTCATTTTAGGAAACCAATATCTATCCATAACCCTCTTGAGAGTCTTTTCAGCCGAAAAATGGCCCATTTCATCATGGTTTGCTTGAACTACTTGCCATCGGCAATTTTTAGGGACAACCCACCTACGACCATTCTCCGTCAATTTGAATACCCTACCGGCCCTCAAATCATAGTTATTGAAAATATCTTTCTCTTCTTCAATGAGTCCCGATTCTAAAATTTCTCTTATCTTTTTAATTTCTGGGTCTTCATTCTGCACATTAGCTAACCAATCCCCATCAGATATGAGCATAACTGATTCAACATTAGAGTTTTCATTTTCACTGATCACTGGGTTACGACTGAGCGCATCCACATGATGCATTTGTTGCCCTGGTCTATGCTCAATTTGGTAGGTGAATTCTTGAAGACCAAGAACCCACCTACTTATTCTCGTATTGACATCTTTTTTCTTGAGGGTATTTTTAACAGCATTGCAGTCTGTACGAATCACAAATTCAATTCCTAAAAGGTAATGTCTGTACTTTTCAACGCTGGTTACTATTGCCAGGAGTTCGAGTTCGAAAGAATGATATTTTTTTTCTTGTGACGAGGTTTGCCTGCTATAGTACGCCACTGGTTTTTCTCCGCAATGAGTAACTTGCATGAGTATTCCACTTAATCCGTCCCGGCTAGCATCAGTATACAATATTGTTTTCAAATTTGGATCGAATATTATAAGTAGTGGACTTGATATCAAGATCTTTTTAAAATATTCCACAGCCTGAGTATGTTTGTCAGTCCACGACCATTTCTCACCTTTTCGCAATGACTTCGTTAATATGCTTGACTTCTCAGCAAATTTATAAATAAATTTCCTGAAGTAACCCACCAGGCCTAGAAACTGTCGTAGCTGATGGACATTCTTAGGTTGCGGAAATTGTTTTACTGCTTCAATCTTATACATGTCTGGGGATACACCATCTCCTGATATTTGGTGACCCAAAAATGTTATACTTTCTTTAAGGAAAAAGCATTTGGGCAAATTGAGCGTAACTTTATTATCTGCAAGCAGATGAAATACCCTCTTGAGCGTATTCAGGTTCTCTTCTTTCGTTCTAGATACTATGAGTACATCATCCAAATATATTATAACATTTTCAAATGTCATGTTACCAAATAGTTTATACATGGCTTTTTGAAACACTGAAGGTGCATTGGAAAGACCAAAAGGAACCCTCAGATATTCGAAATGACCGTTCGGTGTTATAAATGCAGTTTTCTCCACAGAATCCGGATGCATTGGTATTTGGTGATAGCCTGATTTAAAGTCCAAACTACTGAAATATTTACAGTTTCGTAACCTATCGATAAGATCTTCTATTCTAGGCAGTGGGAACTTATCTCTCACTGTTATGGCATTGAGTGCCCTATAATCAACGCATAGACGTTTTTCGTCAGAATTTTTTTTGTTTACCAAAAGTACAGGGCTAGCGTAAGGAGACTGACTTTCTTGAATGATGTTTGCTTTCAATAATACAGAGATGATTTCATTCAATTTCAGTCTTTCTGTTTCGGCCATCCTATATGGATTTCGAGAAATAGGCTTATCTGTTGTTAAAATTATTCTCATAGGTTCGCAATTCATTTTGCTCAAATTATTACAAGAAACTGAAAGAATACTACGATACTCATATAAAAGATTTTGAATTGCCGTGTCCTCATTGAATTCAATTATCTCATTTATTTTATTCACTCCTTGGTTTGCATAAAAAAAACTCAATTCATCACCAATCCTACAATAATTGATTTCCTTATGTTCTGTGAAATTTCTACCGATGATGCATTCACTGGATTCCAAATATTCATCAATTACATAAAGCTTACAGGGGAGACATACTTCACCGATATCTATGGTGGCTTCGACAAATTGCTGAATGTCTATGCCATGTCCTAAAAATCCGGCTAGAGAAATAGGACGATCTAAATCAAAAGTATGTAGGCCCAGACGCTCAACAGTCTGTCTTTCTAACACAGAACAATCACTTCCGAAATCAATAAAAGCTGACACTTCTTTGTTATTGATTGAAATATTTCTGAAGAATTTGCTTTTCTTTCCAGTTGATATTAACTTGACCTCAAATTTTGACTGAACTTCTCCCTTGAATTCTTTTTGCTGTTGGTTCTTTTTTTTCTTCTGAAAACAGGCAGCTTCAAAATGTCCTGGCTTGTTACAGTATTTACAAGTTTGTTCTTTCGCGATATTTCTGAAGCTACAGTTTTTTTTTATATGCCCCGTTTTACCGCATGTGTGACATTCAATTTTGGTTTGAGTTTGGAATTGATTTTGAAATTTCGCATCCCTCGTAGTATTATGAAAATGCGATTTGGTATTCGTAATAGTACTGGTCGAGGTACTGGTGCTACTATTATCATGTGCTCGATCCTTTAAATAATTAGCTAATGAATTCAGTTTATTTATACCACTCGCATTTACTGCGGATGATACAGTTTCATTATTAATTGAGCCCAAGATAAGAGAAATTTTGTCGGTTTCGGAAAAATTTAATTTGAGCTTATTTATTTTTGCCAGATGGTCAAAATGGAAAGAATATAAGGACTCCCCACGTCGTGGTTTATGATTGGCCACGTCCATGAAAAGGGCGTAAGTATTACGATCTGCCTGGAAAACTTCTCCCAATAGTCTCTTCCATTTTGCCCATGAATAATTAGCCCACCCGATTTCATCTTTGATATAACTGTGGTACCATTTCTCAGCGGTACCTTTGAGTTTGTTGAGTGCTTGGAATTTCACTGTATTTTCATCCCAATCATAGCATTTGGCATGTTCATCGATAATATTCAACCATTCATGAACATTTTCTTTTTTTGGGTCAAAATCAGGTATAACTTTTGCGAGAATATTGCTATTATTTCTTTCACGAAAAGAATTCAATGCAGTACTCACTCCTATTTCGATGAGCTGTTTGTCAGACAATCTTACTCTTTTGGATCCCCGTGAATGTCTCGACCGTTTCGAACTTCTCTTCTTTCTTGACATTTTCTTTTCTTGCCGTTTCCGACGTCTCCCTGTAGTCTGGCTTGAATTAGAAGTTGTGGAACTTGCACTAGAACCTCTCGTTGAACCACAAGAACTCGATGAACTAGGGCTTCGTATTCGTTTATTTCTCGGCATTTTGGCAACTACACACTACACAACAACACAGTTTCACTATGATTTTTTTTTTCACTCCTTAAGCAGTTCTTTATCCACACTTCTGAGATATTGGACTATGGTTATTGAAACACTATTCAAATTCTAACAATTTATATTCACGATGTGTGCTCTACAAAAGATAAACGATTAATAATCTATATTCTCCAACGACTGTCCTCTTATTCATCATGTAACGTAACCATCTGAGTCATGTCTTACTAATGGAATCAGAAGGTATCGATGTATAGGGTGATGCGGTGTAATATCCAGTTTCTAACATCATGCAGAAGCCGAATTGACTCAAACGTGACTAACAAACCTCGTTTATCAGCGAAAAAATTTTGACATCGTGGCTGGTCAAGATTGCTTTGGATTCAAATCTGAGACAATAACCTAAGTACCTACTTTATTTTATTTACTTATAATTCGCGTTAGTGAGACATTTTGTACGAAGGCGAGACAATTTTATTGTGGCTGGACGTTTCATGTTTAATTCAAAAAGTTTGCATATTTGTTGACGGTCTCACACAACAATACTAGAATTCAAATTCCTTTTTAAATTAATCTTCTTCAATCACTCAAGTTATTGTGACTAGTATAATTACCAGATGATGTGGCGCAACTGATAGGGTTGTTGCGCGAAGGTCGATGGTTCGAGCCCCTCGGCGACGATATCTTTTTTTTTTATTATTTCATGTCACATAAATTCAATTTATTTTGTTTGAATTGGATAGCAATTGTATACACTCTTTTGAGAGCAACCATCTCCAAGATAATAAAAAAAACTGTTTATCAAAATTGTACATTCCACTTTGTAAATAACTATAAGTAGGTATAGTTAATTTCTAAAAAATTGAATTCTGTATTTCATTACTATCATTATATGTTCTTCTTCGCAGTATGAGTCGGAATATACTCAAATTATGTTTCCTATCTTTTGTATATATTGTCTCATTCAATCATGAAATATTCATACGAATACAACTCGTGATACTATTTTTCCTGGGAATATTCGTCGATTGACATACTCCAGCTTGCTGCTCTAATTTCGCTCATGACATTGAACCAAAACTACTCACCTACGGCTCGTAGTTTTGATAACAATGTCATTCACGAAATTATTAGGCAACAACCCAGCCAACCATGAGATGTATAAGTGATGTATACGCTACATCACTTTGTGACATGCGATATCGCATTTGAAGTCACAAAAATGCTACCGATACAACGTGGCGATGTGAAAATGTCCGACTCAAGCAACATCACTGTGACGTCGTTCAGACATGAAATGCGACATCACATGCAAAATCACCACCAGGTCACATACAAGTGTACATTTCATATTACAAATACATCACACTGCGACATCGATGATGTGGTCGCCGTACCTGCTGTGATATTCGTGGGATATATAATAATAATAATCATTCAACTTTACGAAGAAAATGTTTATTTTCCGAAAGTAAAAACAGATGATACAAAACTTATCATGACAATCACCCTAATTAGTAATCTTGAAGTAAAACATGACACATATATATAGCAATACAATACAAATACACATTATTCATAAATGATACATATCAAATACACTTACATTATCTTGGGATCTTTCATCCACCTTGTTTTACATTGCAATAGTCCTATCTCAGAGGTAATCACAATATTACCTATTGTGATTGAACTCACGACCGTCGTTCTTAAATGATTGTATACCTCCAATTTGAAACTGCTGTAATAATATGTGTGCTATAAATCATCCCAGATATTACAACAGAGAATTTGGAAGGAAATAGTCTGTACGGAGTCGGACTCATTCACTGACTGACATGGCCATGCACAGCTTAACATGGCGTCTGGCGTGTGCGTTCGTTTTGCGCATGTCTGCGTCACACTCACAGGTCACAAAGATATCTCATGAGGATATCAATGTGAATTATTTAGTTAACGTCGAAGAGATGTAGTTTGAAGAAGTCTCTGCCACATTACATAGTTTCCTGGTCGCGATGTCACCTTGCGACGTTGATATCGAATCGTCGTCGATAAGATGTGTTAACGAGATATTGCATTCATGCAAGGTTGTTACATCACACAGATGTTGATGTCACACGATGGTTGGCTGAGAAGCTGTCGTAACAATCACCGAATATAACCGGCAAAATATTATCACTTTTGGTATTACATATGAAAAAATTTGGACCAGTTTGAGAAGGATGCATGGTTTTCATGACTCATATGTATAAATATTTGGTGGTCAGTGCATGAAAAGTTTTCGACTTTTCCAGGGTGAGAATGGCCCTCCCGGATCTCCCGGTCTTCCGGGTAGCCAAGGGAAGCTGGGCGAGCAGGGCCCCAGGGGTCAGAAGGGCGATCGCGGCAGAAGAGGCATGAAGGGCCATAGGGGGGACATCGGGAATCCCGGGCTCAAAGGGGACGAAGGAGAACGCGGGCCGAAAGGGGTCAAGGGGCCAAGAGGGCCGGAAGGAGTCAAGGGGGATATGGTAAGCCAATTACAATTGATGTTTATGTCCTGTATTGAATCAAATATGTCAATCAATTCTTTCAGTTGTTTTCCTCCCACAAGATTAGATTAGATTTAGAATGGGGCCTTCGGGCTATCTGCCTCCACACCGCGACCTTTTCAGATCTATTGTGTCTGCCCTCAAAATCCATTAGAGTTCTTCGGCTAGCCCCGCCTTCTCTATAAGACTCCATAGGCTTCTGGTTTTTTCCTCACCCAGCGTAGGGAACCTTAGTCTTGACAAGCCCTCACAGTGGCAAAGTAGGTGTACTGCTGTTTCCTCCTCTTCCTGACAGAACCTGCACAGCAGTTCTCCAGCCAGACCTATCGTACTCATGTGTTTGTTGAGCCTACAATGCCCTGTGAGAAGTCCTATTCTAGTTGAACTTCGTTTCTGGCTCAGTAGATATTCTGTGAATGTTGGCGATGGTTTTTTAATAAACTCTTTTGCCTGTCTCATTCCTGGCGAGTTGTTCCACCATTCTTGAGATTTGGTTTGCATCCATGATTTGATACTAGTTTTTTATATAGCTTTCGCAATACCACAGAAGGGTTCTGGGCCATTCAGAACTTTGTTTGGTGCTGCTCGGGCAAGTGAGTCTGCCTCTTCATTGCCCTCGTACCCTGTATGTGCTGGTACACCCATGCTAGAGTCAGTCTGTTCTGACTGTCCAGTTCAGTTAGGGTTTCTATGCAGTCCCATACTAGTTTTGAGTTAACTTGCATTGATTTTGCTGCTTTGATGGCCGTCTGGCTGTCTGAATAGATTGCAATGGTTTTGCCTTTGAACTCTTTCGTTATCAATTCTTTCACGCATCAATGATGTATATTGCAATAACTTCTGCCTGAAACACCGTCGCGTATTTACCTGAGCTCAGTGAGATTCTTGTCTTTGGCTTGGCCCCATATGAATACCAGCTCCTGATCCTTCCTCAGTTTTGGAGCCGTCCGTATAGACAGCAATGTCTGCATTGATAGGAGGTCCTTTTCCCTCCATGCCTCTCTGTCCGTTATACTCATTTTAAAAGTTTGTTCAAAGCAATATTTTGGAATTATGCCATCCGTTGGCATTTCCATGATGGGATCGCTTTCCAACTCTTCATATAGCTTTTTTCTATAGTCTTTACCGTGCGCGTTGCTTATGCGTGCTTGACTCCTTGACAATCTACTCATGATTGCTCTGGCTTCGCCTTCAATATATATTTGTAGTGATGGCAGGTTCAAGAGGACCCCTAAAAATAAGCGACTGTTGGAGTGGTTTTCATTACACCAGTGGCAGTCAGGCAAGCTTGCCTTTGACTACCACTGAGCCTTTGAATCACTCCAGCCTGTTGTGTCATTGGCCACCAAACTACTCACCCATATGCTATCATAGGCCTGATGACGCTGGCATAGAGCCATGTGGTCATTTTTGGTTGCAGTCCCCAATTTTTTCCGCACACTCGTCTGCACAGATTGAAGGCTACTGTACTTTTCTGAACGATTTTTTGTAGGTGTTGATTCTATGTTATCTTATGGTCGAAGATGACTCCTAAGTATTTTGCCTCTAGGGCGAACGGAATTTCTACCCCGTTGAGTACTGATGGTGGCTTCAATCCTTCCAGTACTCTCTTTTTTCCTCCCACAAGAGTATTAAAGTGAATTTTGCAACACCCTGTTCACACTTCACCGTTTCAGGGCCCTGCGGGTCCGATTGGCGTCAAAGGCGACGACGGGCCTGTAGGACTGCCGGGCCTGGAAGGGCCTCCCGGCCCGAAGGGCTCCGAGGGGCAGGCCGGCAACAAGGGGGAGCCGGGGCCCGCGGGACCCCCGGGCCCCCAAGGTGCGCCGGCAGAGATGCCTCTGTTGCCGCCAGAGCTGCTGTTCCAGATGAGCAACAACGTCGACAAGGGGGTGACTAGAAGGAGAAGGAGCGTGGAAGAACTGATGTAAGTATTGCCAGGAAATCTCCTCTGAGTGGCAAATAAAATCCTCCTGAAACTGAATTTTGAAAAAATAAACTGGAATAATAATGTTGCATATATAGGTTATATTATGTGGGTTAGGTGGAAGAACAGACATTCTAGACCCCTTTCAGGATTCTAGAATGAATTGAAGCTCGCCCTATCTTTTATATTATTCATTATTATTTCTTGAATCGTGATTAATAATTAAAGACCTTTATTATTATTATTATTATTATTATTATTATTATTATATATAAAAGAGTACTTAGCTTGCTCAGTATGTTTTTGTAAAAGTATAAAATGTGTCCGAGATGAATCGGATAAGATGATTAGTCCAAAACGCAAATATTCTTTGTCGAACTATTTCACAAGAGTTTTCTTCTCAATGTTGTAGGATAATCAAAATAATCGGTGGCTTCAATCGAACAATTTGTGTATTGCCATATAAAAAAGTAAAATAGTATTCATAGATTATAAAAATATAATAAATCCAAAATCGAATTTCTTGACCTTGGCGCAGTCGGTAGGATTATTTATAACAAAGACATAATCTCTATTGGTATCTTTACTATTTCGATTATTTTGCTTTGAGTTGGTAGTGAAGACTCAAATATTCCTTAGCTGCAATCTATAAAACATCTACGGCCCATACAAGGTGCTGTAACTGATTCAGTAAAAACTATATGTATCATACGTGTATTGTTATACCTAAATGACCGAAATCATTTATCAAACTATGAAAAGATACATTGATTTGATAGAACTTTTTTGACCGGTTCTCAAACTTTGTATTTTCGGAATATTCCAGAAATGACTATGAGGAAGAAGTCGGATCAAAAACAACTGAAACAACTCCAACAGAAGATGATGCGAATAAAGATGACATGAACGTGAAATTCTTGGATATGTACAGCACCATTTACTCCATGAGACAAGAGCTAGAAAAGTTCAGGAAACCGACAGGAACCAAAGAGAACCCAGCCATGACATGCAGAGATTTGTATTACGGGCACCCATACTACGAAAACGGTAAATATAAGTTAGTTGGTTGGCTCTGACATATAATCTTCGCGAGATTGTTTCGAATCAACTATTTTCTTTGATTCTTTACACTTACAAGATGATCCATGTAAAATGTTGAAGAACAATATGGCCGGTTAATTTGTCTATACTCTCGGAATCTTCTCAAGTCTTATCTTCCTGAAGCAGTAAAATCACTAACTTTGATATTCTGACTTTCAAATGATGTACAAAAAACCCCCAAAATATTATAAAATTCAAAAATAAAGTGAAGAAATATATTTATATGCAAAGGAATGATCAAAGCTTTTTTTTTCTTTTTTTTACTGTTCCTTTTTTTTTCCTTCTTGTTCACTATAATATAAGTACTGTTATTTTGAGATAATATCTCAATGATATGTTTTGTTCACTATTTGTAATTTCAATTATACAATAGACGATAATACATATGATATGTATCAATGAAGAAATTATGTAATGCAATAACTGAAATAAATATATAAATAATATTTATTTCAATCGGCCCTGATTCGACATTCTTTCTTGAATAAAAATATCTAGAAATGAAACTTCGAATATATTCTGAATAACCCTTGATTACCGATCTCGACCCTTCGCCACTCAACGAAAAGTAGAAAGAATTTCTGGCTTTGTTGCTCTCGTAAGGATGGTTCATCTTGTTAGTCTAAATAATCAAAGCTATTTCTATTCTTTTTATAGGTTGGTACTGGATCGATCCCAATCTTGGAATGAAAGATGATGCTGTATATGTTTACTGTAATATGACTGCTGAAGGAGAGACTTGCGTTTTTCCTGATGTCCACAGCTCAAATATGCCGAATATTCCATGGAGAAGGGAGGGCAACAAACGAGATTGGTATTCCAATTTGAGAGGAGGATTCAGAGTAAGTCATCAATGGGCCTATTTCAGTGAAAAATTGTGTTACATTATTTTGAAGTGCTAACCGTAATACTAGTCCACCGTCGTAAACCACCGTTTCTTTCTCGGAGCTCTATACATTTTTTAAATAATTATTGAAATTGACGAGATTTCATAACATGTAAAACGCAGGAAAACCCGAAACGTAATCACCCGTGAACCATTCAATACAATCATATAAGATCCGACTTACGTAGGCATTTTCTATTTCTGTAAGACAAGGTCAGGACCATTATTGTCATCCTAGTAAACACAGTTATATCACAGAGATATCGCAGCGATGTGAGAATTGTGACATGTGATATCGCATTTTATATCGCATACACATCGCAGCGATATCAGAGGGATGTTATTTTGTCCCACGTTACTTGTTCCATCCATGGGGCGTCGCTACGATAATTTCTCTGCGATGTAACAGCGATATAATTTATGCAATGTTTGTGCGATATGTTATTTGTGATAGAAAAATGATGTGTCCTTGGGTCTCCTGTCCATTCAATCGTATTTTCAGCAGCGCTATCCTTGGTACCTACAAATCTTCATCAAAATGAGATCTGTTACTCGTATTTGTATCAAAAATTTAGTAGTGTGTGTCGGCGAGATGTAAGCAAGCCAAGAATAGTTTGATAGCAATGTAACGAATATTTGCGAGTTTTATTGAGTAAAACGTATATTCAGTTATTCAGAGATGCATCATTCGTGATATCGCATTGTTGCCTCATCATGACATCTTATAGCGATGCCATGTCGCAGATGTGTTTGCTTCAGTACATTGCAGCAATGGAACATTGGTGATATCGCAGTGCTGCCTCATCGTGACATCCCAGAGATGTCATATGTCGCAGATGTGATTGCTTCTGTACATCTCGGCGATGGAACATTCGTAATTTCGCAGTGCTGTGTGTCTCATCGCGACATCTCAGAGATGTCATGACGCAGATGCGTCTGCTTCTGTACATCGCGGCGATGGAACATTCGTAATTTCGCAGTGTTATCTCATCGCGACATCTCAGAGATGTCATGTCGCAGTTGTGTCTGCTGATCAACATCGCAGTGATGGGTTTGTGATATCGTACCGTTACCCAAACGCGACATCTCAGAGATGTCATGTCACAGATGTGTTGCCTGGGATTTTCATCAAAATAAGGAATGCATTTTTGTCTTCTTCTTCTCTTCTTGTATTTGTGGAAACATTACGCTGTTGCCAGGGCCACAATCGTTATTAGGAATACTAGGATATTTTTATTGGTACTGAAGCATATCTTGCAAGTATTATTAGTATTCAATAAGTGATTATTAGGGACCAGGTCGAATTATTGCCTTCTGTGAATGTGAATACTATTGTCATTGGTCATATTGAATCTCATAAGGTAATTATACTAGTTACAAAGTGTTTGGGATCACACGTTAAAGTGATACCCCCGTCATTCCTTGCTCGCACAAGTCTCTTGAAGACTTCTGAGGGTTGCTCGTAAGGGGGCAACCGAATGATGGATGAGAACAATTTTAGAAAAAAATTTTTTAGAACAAATCTGGCAGCGTCGAAGTATGTGGTCCTTCTTTCTATGCGAAAGTCAGAATTCGATTCATGACCTGGCGTTTTTCGAAATCTCGGAATTAATGAAGAAAAAATTTGCGATGATTTTAAATAACGAATGAAAGCATTAAATACTATTGATACATGGAATGATCAATATAAAATAGGTAGGTATGTGGCGTAAATTCGACTTGTGTGTACAATCCCATTCTGTCTTCTGCTTAGTGACACGCAGCTGCGAGTATAAATTGACAAATATCAGCTACCATAGCAAATTCAACTTTTATAAGTTGAGCTTCACTCGTCATTTTTCCAGATTACCTACGAAACGATGGGAACGGTCCAGATGGCCTTCCTGAGGCTCCTCTCCCAGGAAGCCTACCAAAACTTCACCTACACCTGCGTCAACAGCATAGCCTGGTACAATTCGAACACCTACAAGTTCGACATGTCGATCAAATTGCTCGGAGACAACGACCAAGAATTCTCGGACCACGGTTTGAAGCCAGAAGTGCTCTCCGATGGGTGCAAATCAAGAAGCGGGAAAGCAGAAACGGTTTTTGAGGTTAGAACGGAAAAATTGTCTAGGTTGCCTGTCGTCGATTTTTATCCTGTGGACTATGGCGCTCCGAACCAAGCGTTCGGATTTTCGGTCGGTCCGGTGTGTTTCAAATGAAATTGGCTTGTTGTTTTTTATGGATCGTTGTTATAGCACCTTTATTTATTTGTTGAATAATTTAGGGAATGTACATATATTTTTTGTCACTGCCATATTTTTTTCTATGTTTTTTAAATATAAGATTTATTACTGTGCACAGAAGTAAAATCATAAGTTGCCGATGTTTTGTATCATTTTCGATTCCTGGTTCCTTCTCATATTGATAAATCGGAATCACACTCGGAATCATTACCTAGACCACCAACTTCAAGAATATTAAAAGTAAAAAGTAATCAAAGCTCACTATACAGTGTGTCCCACTTACCATGCTCACCATGGGTATCTTTTCAACGGTGAGAGATACGAGGTCGGTTAAATGACACCAAATGTGTAGTTTGTCAAGGCCAACTATAATGTGAAAAAATATTTTGATAAAATCACTTCGTTTTTGTTTTATACGCAAAAAACAGATTTTGATCATTTGCATGTCTCCTCCGTAACTTCTTTATTTATGAAATTATTCAAATAGGAATTTCACATTCTCATGGCAGTTTTTCAAAGTGATTTCGAAAAAAATATGAAATTTATACCAACTCTTCTAGAATTTGAGATATCAGCACCAACTTTAGTTTTTCAAATGTAGGTCATAGCTCACTATGACTCAGTTACAAATAACTATTTTTTCTCTTACAGATGATTTGTCGCAGTAATAGTTTTGTGTTGATATCAACGGAGTTATCGTCATTTAAACAAAAACAAAAAATTATTTGGAAGCCGCCATCTTGAATTTATCTATTTTAACAAAAAAATCATGTTCTCCGACCTCAAAAGCCCCCACAGTTATTTAGAAAGAATACTGTCTATCAAATTAACGTTGTATCCGACTGCAATCTGTTTTATGATATGATAGGTACCTACCGTTGGTTGTCCTACCATCCTGATACAAAGATGTTCTGTCGATGCGGATACGTCGTTGTTCGTCTAAAATCCATATCCTAAATCGTCCTCCTTCCTCATGTTTATTTCATTTCTATTCCCCTGATAATAGGCTCTGCAAGATTCAGGTTGAGATTCGAACATTTATGAATCTGATTATCCTGTCATTTCTGCTCTCCTGATGAAAAAATATGCATTGTGAGGGGTTGGTTTCCAGCAAAAGGTGCTCCCAGATAATCAATTCGGAGTCGAAAATTATAAAAGATAAATCAGATAAATATATAAGAATAAACTCTTAGTTTTGGCGAAAATTTCGAAATTTTACATGTAAAGATGAGGAACTTGAAGGTGAAAATTTCAACATTTTACATATGCATGAATTAGACCTCAACAATTCACTGCTCTTCAATTTGTTTTCGCAAGTAGGTAATATTGACATAACTACTTTCAAAGTCACACCAAATTTGAATGTACTTAGATGTGCATGATGGGTGGCCAGGTAGCCGTGCGGACAGAGTGTCTATATTCTAATTCGCATTCGCTTGCCGGTCGTGGGTTCGATACCCATCGACTGCAGAAATTTTTCTGATGGCCCAAGAAAGTGTTTGGGATCACACGTTAAAAGGTAAGGCCCCCGTCATTCCTTGCTCGCACAAGACTTTCGAAGACTTTTGAGGGTTGCTCGTAAGGGGGCAACCGAATGACGGATAGAACAAATTTTAGAACAAATAAAGAAAAGAAGGATAAACTAGCCTGTACGCAGATAATTCTCTGTTGAGTCGGTGAATATACAGTTCGTGTCCCGCTTTTCATGAATACACCCTGATATCTCAGTTATTAATGCTGCTATTCTCTTAAAATTTTTGTAGTGATTGTATGTTAGAATAAAGAAGTATTTAGCAGAATGAACAGTTTCATTCACCATTGGCGTGCGATGTTGAGGGATACAAAAAAGGCCTATATTTGTGAAAAGATATTAGGACTCATTTTAAATCACTATTTTTCATCAGATTCATAATCAGCATCCCCAAAAACCCCCAATTCATATTTTCAAGATTTCAAGAGCTGAAATAATATATTTCAAAATCCCGCTTTTCTAGACAACACCCTCTAATCTCAGTTATCAACGATGCGATTTTCTTGAAATTTGAACAGAGTGGAATTCCGCCCAGGGAGTCTAGTATGTTATACGGACGGATCGCGCCTAACCGACAAACAGGACTCAGGTGCAGGAATTTACCTAGAAGGAATAGGCATAAGGGAGAGCTACGCTCTTGGAAAGTATACCACAGTTTTCCAGGCTGAGGTCTCTGCCATTCTAGCAGTAGCGGAGAGGCAAGAGGTGAAAGAGGAACCAGAGCAGAAGATTTACATCTGCTCGGATAGTCAGGCGGCTCTCAGGGCTATCTGCCATCCTAAACCAAGCTCAGCTTTGGTGCAGGAATGTAGCGATGCTCTTGAGAAACTAGCTGAACAGAAGTAAGTTGATAATAAAGAAAGAACTTTGATAAAGAGGTACTCACTATTATTGCTATTAATGCACACACACACACAAACAGCGATGATTTGGCTGGAGCTGGTCAAGAGACAACGTTCACGATTTGCAGACTCGAGTGTGAATGATGTTGCGCTGCGTCGTCGCTTTTATACGCTGGCGGAGATACCACGTGACTTGCTAATTAGCGATGTGGGTGTTCTGGAAAAACCCATCTAAAACGACTGCTGATAGCGATAATTTCTTCCGTCATTCTGATCACGTATTTTGTTTATGCGACTAGTTGGTTCTTTTATAGTTTCGATAACCTCCAACCATATCTGTTATGCTGCTGATTGTGAAATTGTTGGGTTCTTTGTAGTTTCGATAACCTACATCCTTATCTGTTATGCTAATTTGCAGTCGTTGCACCCGTGTAGAGATAAGCGCGCGCCACCGATGGATATTATTTTCCACGCGAAGTTTATTATCTCTGGAACGCATCTCTCGCTTCACTCTACCTCGATAGATCCGTTTCAAAGATAAGCGCGCGCCAGCTATGGATATCTCGTTTGAATAGCATTAAAATAGCTGAAATATTACGGAGGTCAGAATACCACAGTGCGTATATACGCTGCCTCGTAATGCAAAGGTCCCTGGTTCAATTCCCCAGCGGTGACAGCTTTTTTTTATTTATTTATTCACGATGGCGACGTGACGACGTATGAATGATTCGAATTTCGCGCCGGTTTTTAGTGGGCGTGGCCTCCAATTAAATGCTGGCCTCTGATTGGCTTGAGCCAGAACATACATAGACTATCTACTACAACCGGGTCACAGGAGCGTGCCCGGGAATGAGGTGGCCGACGAGCTGGCTAGAATCGGATCCGCGACCGGAGCCTGCACTGGGCATAACAAGAAGCCAAACCTCGTCTGCCCTTAACAAATGGGCGGACGAGGCACTAGAAGGATATTGGAGGCGTATAGGCGGCTGCAGGCAGTCGAGAGACCTGGTGGCCGGTCCAAGCAAGCCAAAGACGGCTTGGTAACTGGGCAGGGATCGCCAAGTCCTGCGCCTTCTTATAGGGGTACTGACAGGGCACAACAGGTTACGCAGACACCTAGCTACCACTCATAGGTGTGGAAGATAGTCCCACTTGCCGTGAATGCGGAGAAGATGAGGAGACATCACTTCACTTCCTCGGAGAGTGTGAGGCGTATGGAAGGATGAGATTCGAAATCTTTGGAGTAGATAAACTACAACAGGAAGATTTGGTCGAATTAGAGTGGACGGACATCCTGACCTTCATCAGAAGGACGGGAAGGTTCGAAAAGAACAACTAAAAGAGAGATGTGTAGATATTTGGAGAGCAGGGGTTGGCAAAAATGGCCCATGGGGGCCTACTTGCCTGGCTAAAACGTCTCATGAGATCAAGAATTTTGTGAAAATCTTATCGTTTGTGAAGGACTGGAGCCGATATAGACCCATAATTGCCATTTTTGCTATTACGTTCTTTTCAAAAACTATCCACCAGAGTACCAATAATTCTCATTGTCAAATGGATCTAGAAAGGCAGCAGCAATACATGGACGAATAAAACTATATGGAATTGTCCTGCCGTAAAATATTTTTAATCGGGTATATTTACATCATGGAAATCAAACTATACATAATATTTCAGGTATGGCATTGCATCTCTAATCGTTATTTACAGTTATAAACAATCAGAAAGATAATAATAAGTCACACATGCTTTAATCGAGAAAAAAAGCAGTGCCAACAGCCTTTGTAAAAATAAATTAGTAGTCAGCGATTGTTCTCACTGTTTTCAAAATCAAATATACACTGGTAGCTCATTTTATTGAACGATCCAAAACTGCAAGTATTCAACACAATTACTGCTATATTTAAACCCTAAAAATTGTGAATATAGTTTCGAATTGTTCACTTAAAGAGCTAGCACATTCAACTAATATTAATGTAAAAGAAAAAATAACATTTCAAGCCATTTCCGTTTTATCTACTTTGACAAAATATAAAAAATTCAAGCAAGATAACCGTACTTGAGAGGAATACAAGAGTTATTTTTTCACGAAATAAATATCAGTCCAATAAACGTTTGAAACTTTCATAAAACTATTCTTAAATTGCATGAACCATTTGATACATCTAAGTAATATAAATCAGATGGCCCATGGGAACCTAGTTTGTCAAAAAAATAATACAGAAGCAACCAAAATCCTCACGGATTTTTAAGACTAGCAATGAACGATGACTAAGTCCTTCATTAAAATGAAGTAACATTAAAAAAATACGATAATTCACCTCCCAGTCAATACTTGAAGTGGTTCACAATAAATTAAATATCTATTCACTTTCACTATCACACTATCAACTAGTAACTAGTATATTGTATTGATATAATTACCTAAAACAAATAACACATTTGTTTTCTAAATATGGAAAACATAAGAAAAGGAAAAAAGTTACGTGTTTATAAAAAAAATTGAGGCCCCCAAAAGCAAACGAAATTTGCCTAGAAGAATTTTTGTAAATGTGTAAAAATCCGAATTAGGGATAAAATAGAACCTTGTCCTGATATTTGAGTTTTTCGTGTTTACATGTACAGGGTGATTCACCATAAATGTCCCCCCCTCTAGCTCACTTATTTTTGAACCGTTTTAAAAATTTGAAATATAATCTAAAATGATTTTTCAGAAATTTTTTTCCCGTTGCATCAGAAAATACAGGGTGCTCGGAACAAACGATCTACAGAGTACTAATTGATTTTTTAAAATGGAACTCCCTGTATTTTATTGTATTTTCAGATTCTTCCTGAAGAGCTGATTTCATCAATGCATCACACTTGGGGTTTAGCGGGAATGATTACAGAGATATAGGGTGTTTAAGATCAAGATTTTCCAACTTTAGGATTTTTTTGTGCCGAAACTATTATTGGTCAAAACGGCTTCTATGTTCCCATCTCAACTTTTGATTTACTATCTAGTGAAATTTAATTGGAACATTTACAGGGTGGTTCAAGATTCAGAATTCTGGTCACCCTGTATCTGTTCCAATTATTAAATGTCAGTAGATAGTAAATCAAAAGTCAAGATACGGACATGAAAACCGCGTGACCGATAATGAATAGTTTCGTCACAAAAAAATCCTAAAGTTAAAAATCTCGATTTTGAACACCCTATATCTCTGTAATCAGTCCCGCTAGACCCCAAGTGTGATACATTGATCAAATCAGCTCTTCAGGGAGAATCTAAAAATACAATGAAAAATAGGGTGTTTCATTTAAAAAAATCAAATAGTACCCTGTAGATCGTTTGTTCCGAGCACCCTGTATTCTCTGATCTAGCGGAAAAAAAAATTTATCGAAAATCATTCAAGATGATATTTCAAATTTTGAAATCGATTCAAAAATAACTGAGCTAGAGGGGGGGACATTTATGGTGAATCACCCTGTACCTTTATGAAGGCAGTGTACAGGGTGTCAGATTAAATGTGTCACTCCAGTTTATACGCATTATTCCGAACATATCTTGGTCGTTCAAGAACTTTTCTGGGATAATTTTTTACGAATTTTTTGAACTGTACAGTCGTATTCAATAAAAAAGCATACGAGTGTTAAGAAAAGAGGTTTACGACATCCTAGTTCTAGTTGTATAAAACTGGCTCAGCCAATGCTTTCTGTTTTTGAGAACCTATGACAACTTTACTGTCAACATTTGGTAAAGAATCATTCTCGATAGCCCATTTTACGCAAATAGAATGACGTTAATTTCTCTCTGTAATATACTTGTACGCTTTTTTTTCTGAATACAGCTGTACTTACCTTTTCTTTATATCAACAAATTACAGGGTGGACCTGAAAAAGTTTTTTTTTGCAAATGAAATGATCCATATTTTTTTCCATAATTCGATGAAGCCCGTCAATCTGAATTCAAAAATTTATATCGGAAAAAAATTTAGATCATTCCATTTGAAAACATCTTTTTTTTCTTTAGCCACCCTGTATTTTGTTGATATGAAGAAAAAGTGAGCACAGATTCAAAAAATTCGTAAGAAATTATTTCAGAAACGTTATTGAAAGTCCATAATATGTTGAGAATTACGAGGATGAAAGGAGGTGACACATTTAGGTGGGACACCCCGTACATAATAATATGTGATATTTGAGTTGATAGATGAAAGTGAATTAAAAATTCCATCGAAAATTGTAAAAAATGAAAGCACCATGTCTTTCACAGAAAAGCCATGAAAAACTGAAGCCCGCAAGCTCGCCAACCAAATTTATATGGGAATTCAAATAATTTATTTTGATTCAAAGACAAGTAAAGAGAACTATCAAGACGAGTTCTGCAATTTGCTAATGTCACACTATACCAGTAAAAACAGTTCTTCTTATACAATCATCATGTTTCCAACATTTTAATATATCTGTGAAGCTTGTCAGAAATCTTGATATATGTATTTTTTTCCATCAGAGGTCAAACTTCCATTCTGATAACGTATTAAATTGAAAAGTATAAATACCAGTGCTCATTTTTGACAAGCCTAAATATTCAAATTCTTCACTGACTAGACAATTAATTCAAATTGGAGTAAAACTTTCGAGGAAAGATGAAAATTATGTAATTCTAATAATCTAGACAGTAGACTAGGGTGTCTTGAATCTTGATGCCACTCTGAAGAATTTGTCACATAACAACGTCAAATTGACATCAACTTATAGTATTCATCTTAAACATATTTCCACATATATTTTGTGCATTTTCCCTTCTTTTTTGCAACACACCCGAACCCGAAACCATCTTGACAGTCTTCCATATCGCTCATAGAAATCATTTGTATACAGGGTGTCCCAGAACAACGTTCAATAAATTCTACAAAGGTGTTCAGAACATGATAAATTAATAGTATCAATTAATCAACTTTATTATACCCGAGAAACAACATAACGTAATTTAAAACAAAAACCGTTCAAATCGGACAATAGGCGAGTGGACTATTATATCATTACTCTATTAGTACCCTCCAATTCCATATTTTGTTCAATTTTTTGGGTCGATTTAAGGTGCTAAAATCTTCAATACTGCCACGGTAATTCTTAAACGGCTAGAAATGTACCGCAAATGAAAACTGACGTCACGATTTCGTTAGTAGGGGAAGACCATAGCACAGTTGCCATATGTTGAAATACGAATTGGAACTTCAGATATAGTATTTATTTAATAATTCATAAATTCTCAATTATGTTTTTTTATCGCTTGGAGCGCACGAAAGGAAATCACTATAATGTTCAAAGAACATCGTGCTATTAAAAAAAATCCATTGTCTTCTGATTTTCCCTCATATACGTTGTTTCTTATCGCATAATATGATGAATTTGTGTTAATAATAATTATATTAATTCACACTAGAGGAGATATGGTTCGGTAAACGTGATAACACAGGATTGTGGGCGTTGTCTTGTCAATTCTCAACTTTTAGCACAGCATTGCCAAGTCTATAGCCTAGCCAACATTTACATGTTTTGTTATGAAGTATAAGAAATATTTCAACGAACTGGCTGCTTGAAACTGTCACAAATTGATAACTATAATATCATGACTTTCTCCTGTCAGATCAAATGAAAAAAATCGATTCGGAAATTTTTTTTAAGACACGGCTCTAACAACGTTTTGGTAACTTGATTATGATTGGTGACTTGACAACCTTGCTCTATGAGTGGGAATGTCAGGTTATCTGACCAATAATGAAATAGCATAAGAACTGACATCGCCATATATCCAACTTTTCGAAGATCATGACCAAAACATGGCAAAAACGCGTAAGTAGTGTTGCAAAAATTAAGTCAGGTCTCTAACGATACAGTGAAGTAATTGAATTCTAATTGTTGACTCTACCAGTCCACTCGCCCATTTGTTTTCACGAAAATGTATCTTTATCGTGTGGCTACTTTTTGGTGGTACGTTAATTTCTGGGAGAAGTGTGGTACGTTAAGTTCTGGGGGAAGTGTATATAATATCTTCACGAATGTTTCCTGAATTCAAAGTTGATCGCACGGAAAAAATAATAAAATATGTGTTCAGTGACTGCTCATAAACTATACAGAAGAATGAGAATTTGAATTATGGAAATTTACTCATTGCCTATGATCAAGCGGATAGTACGCCACCCCTAGGATCCCTTGATGCAAACTGACGTATTTGCCATCTTAACAGGGTACAGACAGATTCTCGTCTCTCACTATGAAGTGTTTGTGAAACAGTTATATAGTTCCAAACACTAGATTTCTTATATTTGTTGTTTTCTAGGCTATATTGAGGAAATTGGCGTATCATACGTTATTTTTACATAGAACTCCTGATTCAACTCTACATAAAATATGTACATATTACATATATCCAAATGATGATCAATAATTTTCGAGTTTTTTGATTTTTCAACTCCAGGATTATCTTTGTGGCAGTGAGCATACATTTTTCTGAAAGTTCAATATGTTTTACCAAATGGGACTGTTCCTGTTCTTAGGCTGTACCTATACATATTAAATGAATTTTGATTTCAGACTAAGCCGTATGGTTGAGGAATGGAGAAAACCTTGATGTAGGTATTCAAACTAATGAGCTCATATGTCGTCATGTGTGCTGTATATTTATATATTCATGTTGGGCATCATTTTTGCGGTTTTTTTTCAAGTATAGTTTTTCGAATGGCAGGGCATATGCCTCTTGATATGATAGGATGGAGTGGATAATTAGGCACAATGAGAATGTATGTGATTTCGTATTAGTTTTACCTCGCATATTTTGCTGATGTATTTACCGATTTTCCCAATTCGGTCTCTTCACTTTCCATGTTTCAAGTAAATTTGCATTTGTTGGAAAGCTGACAAATTCAAATTTTCCATCCAGTTGATTGAAACAGCCTAACACAGCAACTTTAATCCTTGCAAAACAGAACTGAATAATGTTGTATTAAGATTGAGTACAAATTGTAATCCTCACAAACCGAAGGTCGTGGGAATGAAAAATGTGAGATTTCTTTGAACGCCTATGAATGTAACGTGACAGCAATGTCATGCCAGGGTCACCAATACACAAAACCAAAGTCACCAGACCATCAAACGAGGAAGGAGCTATGATCTGTCCGTATCGAGAGGGACTTTATAAATAGAGTGACGGCAATAGTTGTACACATTTTGATTGGCTAGACCTTTAATATGAAGGTGCATTCATCTGTCTTGTTTTCTCCATTCAAATACTACGCATTCCATTTCACTTTGTCAATGTCTTGTCTTTGTGTTTTGCTCGTTGGACATCAGACATGACACTCTATACGTCAGTACCTTGGATATTCCATATGAATGATGATATAATGATAAAATAAAACTATCAAATATCTAGACCTAACAGCAGATGGGCACTTCGAAGGCGCAAATTCATTATAGCATTGGCGATACACTTAAGATTTTTAGCTATTCAGTGACTAGACATTTCGGAAATGGCACTCTATCCGTACTCTGTTAAGATGGCAAATTGGTCGATTTACATCATGGGACCCTAGCCACCCCGAACCACGATGACGAAGTGAAAAATCGAAAAGGAACCAAGCGCGCCCGCGGCCTACCGTTACGCCACGTCCTCGTTGCGGAAGAGCCTGCGCTGAGGCTCCGGAGTGTAGCCAAAGCGGGCGCGCAGGTGCTGCGGCGACCCGGGCACCGACGCGCTCTCGGATACCCTCCTGGGCGGAGGGACGGGAGGGCAGGGGGACACGTACCTGCACAGAAAACGATAATTCTTCACCCATTACCTCCCACGGATATTTTCTTCATTCATTCATTGGTTCTAGTAACACAAACACTGTGAAAAGTATTGAAATAAAATTGTGGCAAGTTTTTGAAAAAGAATTGCTGTACTCAAATGAGTACGATGGGAGGTTGCAATGGAAAATAACTTAAAATCTTGAAAACTACAAAAAAGTATTTCAAAATTGCATCACAATCCAGTTCGGTATTGTCAGATACGTGTATGTACCTCAATATTTCTTGGGATTTATTTCTAGAAATACTGGAAGCAACGAGTGGTACCGAAACTTCACCGTCAACGCTCCAGTACATGGATTCTCGGGGGTAATTGCCAGAATGAGCCTTTCCAGTCATTTCTAGAAAAACTATATCTCGAAATATATGGCTCTGGAATTTTTTTGAGATTTTTTTTCCATCAATGTATCGTATAAAAAATTATTGAAGACGCCAATATGAACGAGTGAATCCAAACGATCAGACATGGCCGCGAAACTTGTGACGTCAGTGCGCGAGCAATTTGGATCAGTAATTCTCGAGGTAATTCCCTCACTTTCTCGCGGGTGCCAATCCAATGGATGGACGATGGACTTGACAATGTTGCCAATGATTAGTCGGATAATCATTCCTCAATTTTTTCATTTTAGCAAATAATACAGATGCTGTTAGATAACGCAACTAATAACTAATTACCTGAAAATTCGTGGTAGCAAAAATTTTGTATTAATTGTATGATTACTTAGTTGGTTGATTTCTGTTGGGAGGATTATTGGAAATTGTAAGTGAAATTTCATTTTGTATTGAATTACAGTGCAGATATTCATGACATTCAGTTTCAAAATCTTTCCAATAAAGTACATTCAAGTTTAGGTGCTCACCTATAATGTAACTACTTATACCTAGGTATCATAAGGAAAGAAACAAATTGTAAATCAAACAATACTAAATTGCTTACTTGGTTCTATTCTTATTGATTTTAGTACAAATATCACTGCCTTCTTGTCAATAATATTGAGAAATAAAAACAGTGAAGTTATGCGGAGAATGAGGTATTTTTATCTTGGCAACATTCTGTTAGCGCCAGTTGCTTTATCTCTTTCTCAGTCAACGAAATTTCAACAAAACTGAAACCAAACTAAGTATATAAAAAGCGTCTTACTGTTAGATGCCTGCATCACATTTTATTCTAGCTGATCTTGAAACTAATGGAATACTTTGGAGTTCAGAGTAAATTGGATGTGATCAGCAGTGAATTACCAATCAACTAATTACCGACTACATAGTAATTTCGAATCATTCCATTCCTTGCACCATTTTGCACATAGGAGCGATTCAAGGATTTTATAGAGATCTGGCAACAGCGGAGTGTTAACCAGCCGTCAGACACTGACATCACAGCACAGTAGCGTTTGAATTCACAGGTATTGAAATAGCATTTTCAATATTGAATAATTCATTTGTCTTTCGCTTTTCTCGATAAATATGTGGTCAGGATAACGTTTCAAACTTCCATTCATACTAGCGGAAAAGAGTCAAATTTCACGATACTGGAAAGGCCCATTGCCACTCTCAATGATACATCTCAAAATTCTATGAAAATACTGAGCATTTATTTTCAATTTCAACTAATTTTGTCCAAAGGCCAACTTGCCATACATCACTGTATTCAGAAAAACATTACCATTGGAAACATTTTTAAAAACATATGGTGCTTTTTGAAACAAAAAAGTCGTCTCTCTGATATTAGTGTTGAATATAAAAAAATAATGTTCAAAGCCAACTCATTAACTGATTCCTTTTGCTTTTCTGTTTTTTGATGTGGGATAATAAATAGCAGCCTGTATCTTTCTATATATTGATATCACAGCTTATTACAATATCTTTTTTGCCATTGTCGTGATGAAAATGAGAAAATTCAGAAAGGAACCACTCACCTTCGAGACAGACTAGGCGAGTTATTAGAATGCGTTTCTAAGAAATTCCTTCTCAGCGCCAGAGGGCTCTGCCCGTCTCCGCTGGGGTGCCTATTGAGTCTGGGAGGCGGTTCTGGACTTTGGTGTCTCGAAGACCGCCCGCTTCTGTCTCCGCTCAGCTGCAGTTTGATGTAGGAGGCGAATCGCTTTTTACCTTGAAATAAAGAAGTTTTTCATAGCCTCTGATTTTTTTTTGATTTTTTTTATTGACTCTGCCGTTAGTTGATAGAAATCTATGGCAAAAGTAAAAACTTCACAAACTATGAGATTTTCAAAAAATCCTCAAACACACGACATGTGCGTGTTCGGCGTTCTGGATCGTTGGCGTATAATTTTTAATGATTTATAAATGAATCGCTGAGTATAATTTTTTTTGTTAGCCTGAGATGTGTACTCACTAGATTATTTGAAACCCTTTGACCGACTGCTGCTGCCTAAGCTGGTGGAAGAACCGCAGCAGAATCCCCACCATTCGCAATTTCATTCATTTATCCGTGTTTGGCGTTTAGGATCGATAGCGTATACTTTTTAATTATTCATTAATGAATCGCAGTATGTATCTATTGTTATGCAGTCCGAGATGCGTACTCACCAGACTCCTCGCCATCCTTGACCGACGGCTGCTGCCTTTACTGGTAGTAGAACCGCAGCAGGATCCCCACCATTCGGAATTTCATTCATTTATCCGTGTATGGGCGTTTGGGATCGTTAGCGTATACTTTTTAATGATTCATTAATGAATCGCGGTGTCTCAACTATTCTTATTTAGTCTGAGGTTATCCCCACCATTCGCGATATATCACTGAATCGCGGTGTCTATCTATTGATATTTAGATAGTAGCGCAAACTCACCAGACTCCTCGGCATCCTTGACCGACTGCTGCTGCCTCTACTGGTGAAAGAACCGCTGCAGGATCCCTACCATTCGTGATTTCATTCATTTATCCGTGTTTGGCGTATACTTTTTAATGATAAATGAATGAATCGCGGTGTGTATCTATTGTTATGTAGTCCCAGCTGCGTACTCACCAGACTCCTCGGCATCCTTGACCGACTGCTGCTGCTTCTGCTGGTGGAAGAACCGCTGCAGAATGATCGGGCTGGTGTTGTCGCTGTCGTAGCGTGCGTCGTCGGCGGCGTCGAGACGGCCGCGCGCTGGCAGCGGCGACGCGCTCGGCGACCGCCACCGCGACTCGCTGGCGGCGCGCCGGTGCTGCTGGTAGGGGGCGGGGTCCGCCAGAGGAGGCGGGCGGCGAAGGAGCAGGGGAGAGCAGCACGCCTACAAGATTGATGGGCGAGTGCAGTAGTCGGCAACATGTGGCTCTTTTGATGTGCGTTTATGGCTCTTTGATTACTTTATGGTGTAGGTGGACATCAGTGGCGGCTCGTCAGAGGAGGCTGAGCCTCCTCAAAAATTTCCATACATCGCATAGTTCGATATACTTGTATAAACTATTACACCGGAATAGCTAAGTTACGTTCATTTTATCGGTTCTATTTCTCGATATCAAGTAGGATTTGAGATTTTGGCAACAATGCTCTTATACTTGAAAGTATCCAGAATAGAATAGAAATTTGCGACCTGGCAACATTCAACGGAAAGCAGCCTCTGACCAATAAAATTCGCCAGAATCGTGATTCGCGAGGGAGCATGTGCGACTAAGTATATGGTGTTCGCACTGATGCGCTTTTGTTTGCCAAAAGTTGACGGCAATAAACTGTTGAAAATCGCAATATAAGGTTGTTTTTACATCTTATTCACATCTTATTCTAATAGATGTCACTGTACAAATTCTCTTTAAATGGAAATCGAAACTCAATTATCAGAATGGTATTAAGCACTATCAAAATAAACTTACAAATACCATTCCTTTTTTTTTTTTCTAAGTATGAGTGGTTGCCGTTATTTGGTCTGATAGTCATTGGAAATATGGTAAAAATATGACGATATCAGCGCCTCTTTTCTATGAACAAGGACCTTATAAGTGTCGACAGTTTATTTCTTGTTGTGTGTGTTCAATAGATGTAATTCAATATTCGTCGTGGCATATAGCCAGGAAGTAGTTGTTTTCTGTTGAATAAACCAAGAAAGAATAAATATTTTCATCACATGGAGAATGCGAAATCTCAATGTACTTCTTTTATACATATATACAGGGTGGGTCACGGTCGATGGCACCTTAGACGTTTACGGAGAACGGGACATAAGATCATTCTGAAAATTTGATTACTCAAGTAATTGCTCTTGATCTATCGATCTAAAATATTTTCAGCTCTGCGGCGTTGCCGCTTCTATCGAAAAGTAGCAACAACTTTGTTATTTCAAATCGAACATCCTGTATTTTATTGCATCTTCAGATTCTCTCTGAAGAGCTGATTTCATCGATATATCACACTTGGGGTCTAGCGGAAATGATTACAGAGATATAGGGTGTGAAAAATCGACATTTTTCAACTTAAGGAATTTTTTTTGTCGAAACTATTCGTTATTGGTCAAAACGGCTTACATGTCCCTATCTCAACTTTTGATTAACTATCTACTGATATTTGAATGGGACATATACCGGGTGATCAAGAATCTGAATTCTGCACCACCCTGTATTTGTTTCAATTAAATGTCAGTAGATAGTTGATCAAAAGTTGGGATAGGGATATGTGAGCCGTTTTGACCAATAATGAATAGTTTCAACAAAAAAAATTCTTAAAGTTGAAAAATGTCGATTTTTCACACCCTATATCTCTGTAATCATTTCCGCTAGACCCCAAGTGTGATACATCGATGAAATCAGCTCTTCAGAGAGAATCTGAAAATGCGATAAAATACAGGGTGTTCCATTTAAAATAACAAAGTTGTTGCTACTTTTCGATAGAAGCGGCAACGCCGCAGAGCTGAAAATATTTTAGATCGATAGATCAAGAGCAATTACTTGAGTAACCAAATTTTCAGAATGATCTTATGTCCCGTTCTCCGTAAACGTCTAAGGTGCCATCCATATATCCATTTTTTGTGTTCATAAATATATCTGAGAATATTCTTTTCAATTATTTCGTAGAATTTCGCACTTCCCATTTAGCCTCCCTGTTGAAAAGAGCACGAGCCGCCACTGGTGGACGTTACGTCTTGACTGAATCAGCGCTCAATCGCAAATTACAGGGTGAAGAAAATATTGCATCTTTCATCTGAATTTTCTAGAACCAACAGTAAATTCATAAAAATCTAGACAATTTCTAAATCTGATTTCGTTATATAAACTCAAAATATGTTGTTTTATTTATTTTGTCAGGAATAAATTCAAATATCAAACCTTGTTTTTAATGAAGTCCATAGTAATGGCACTAGACAATTGAATAACTTGACAGCAAACAACTTCAAGTCAATCTTAAACAATACCTGGTCAGGACAATTTGATTCAAAAATATTTGGTAGTATTTGTTCACTCAGATTGGAAATGTTTTAACTTCCATCTTAAGAAAGAGTATGAATTTGGTTTCACTGAGTGGAATTCATTTGATAACTTCTAACGTTTGAATTCAAGCGCGTATTTGCCGGAGGGGTATATTTACTTCTATATTCTTTCCCATGTTTAGTGGTTGTTTTGTTTTATATTCATATTCTATAAATCTTTCTATCCTCATCTGCATATAACTATCTATCAGTACTATCTTCATTCATATCTCTATTTATCCTCATCTATATTCCTCTCAATATATCTTCACCTACCTATATATATTCATATAGCTTTCTGAACTCTTACCTGTGTGGCTTTCTCTTCCTGCTGCTCCCTCATTGCCAGATGGTTCTGATAGGCGGCGTACTGTGGAAACACCTTCGCCACGCCCACCGCGTCGCACGCATCCCCGCCCCGATTCGTCATCTGCTGCTGGTTCACCTGTTGCTGGTGTCCCTCCCGCTGGAAAACGCTCAGCCGGGACGCGTGCGAGGCGGGCCGCGCAGCCGCTACGAGGTCGCAAGGGGCGGCGCTTGTTTTCCGGTGGGCAGAGCCGTTGGTGAGGGCGGGGCTCGGGGAGGCGGGTGGCGCAGAGGACTGCCATTGGTGGGAGGAGAAGAATTGTCGGATGGAGTTAGCCGTCGAGGAGTGTCTGTCAGGGGGAACGAGAACGGTGAAATAGAGTGTCGGGTAAGAGATTTTCAGGCATTTTTCGAAATGATGTGATCTCTTTAGAAGGTTTTCTAGTTTTCTTCAGCCAACATTTATGAGGTTGATTCTTGAATTGATATTGTATTTGTATTAAATGTAAAATAAATAATATACAGTGTGTTTTAATTCAACTGTAACCACCCACCCATATGTAACAAGTGATGTGGTACGCTTCTCAAGTACCATCCATTAGCTCTCTCTCTCTCTCTCAGAGATGTTTGCTGGTGTGATGAAGGCGAGTAATGTACTCACTAATGTATAATACAATAGCAGGCCTGTTAGCTGTCTAGTTAAAACTAGAGTCACTGGATGGTATTAGTTTGATAAGAGTTCGGACACAGCTGAACTTTTGTCCTTTTCTATTTTCTATAATACAATGGTTTAAGTGAATAAAAGAATAAGACATATATTCGGCTCTTTGTCTTTTCAATTTCCCTAGAAGCGCCTGATTGTCAAATACGATTTTAGAGGTTATATTTTCTGTCAAATCAATCATAGCCGTAGATGGACAATGGATATAGGGTACAAACACCCACTTAAATTTATAGTGATACACTTCTAGCAGAACAACTGTTATATAAATGAGAAGAATGCATGTACCAACGTTTTAATATTAGAAAATATACACATATGGATAAACTCATAGCTATAAATCCTTATTGTATGTCAAACTGTACTCCAGTGATAAGTATAAAACATGAAGTTATTAATATTTAATTAAAGGTAGGTATTCTCAATATACAAGAAGTAACATAAATACGTTCAAGTGAAGTATTCCTGAGACAATTTTAAGAAATAAAGTGTATATAAGCTTGTGTCCGGAAATGTTTCATTTCGGACATAGAGGGTGATGAAACACAGAGAACAAATCATTTTTTGATAAACATTCCCTTGGAAAAAAGTAGTTAATTTTGACGAGACCTACCAAATACATTTTTCTGTAAAGTTCTCAGCAACTTCACTTAGCGCCTTAGAAGGTAAGCATCTAAGTAACATGGATCGATATACCAAATACATTTTTCTGAAAAGTTCTCAGCAACTTCAGTTAGCGCCTTAGGAGCTAAGCATCTAAGTAAAACATGGATCGATATAGAATAATTCACTTTTCACTGTTGAATTTTGAATTTGATCGGCACCAAAAACGCCATTCAATAATATATCACGTTGTAGTTTCCTTGCTTTTCTTAGTTTTGTTTTCAAATTTCCGATTTCATTATGTAATTTTACGGTCATGTCCTCTTTCCATGATTATTTTGTTCTGTATTTCGTGTGATGATAATAATGGAATTTTGAAATCGTCTGCTTTGTAAATTGATGGAATGGCAGATTCTCTCAAACAGATTTTGAAATCTTCTGTTCCAAACTGGACCTGAAATATAGTTTCATTCTGTGATCAGATGCTGTTATAAGAAGCTAATTTTAATGAGTACCTCACAAATTTCGCTCGTCTTGAAATTGATTTTCCACCCAGGCCGTTTCATATCTTCCTTCCATAAGCGAATGGTTGATATTTGTTTTGGAAAATTGAATAAATGATATCCATTTTTATCAGATTTGGCACACGTTATTACACAGCAAGTGATTTCCATAGCTGCTTTTTTCTCGAAAGTATAATTATTATTACATTTCATTTCAAATCTGACGTTCATAAAATTTAGTGTCAAACAAATTTGAATAAGAAGCGCGGGACGACTATGGTGCTATTGTCACAATGCAAGGTGTGTAACTTAATGAATCTAAACATTCAAAAACCCTAACAGTTGTCATTTCTGTGTCCGAACTCTTATCAAACTAATAGCATCCAGTGACTCTAGTTAAAACTAGTTAGAACCACTTCTTATCTGTCTTTTAACTAACTCCATACGGCACTTAAGGAGCAGTAATTCGAATTTAAAAGTAGCATTATATTCTTATTGAAGTCTCTGCTCTCGGGAGATCCGATTTAGGATGGTCACAGTTGATTGAAGCAGGGCACACCTGTATCCTATATTTTTGAGTTACTTAGAAAGCTTTATTCAATTATTAATGGATGTGCATGAAATTACCAAAATTGCCGAATATGTATATGTAAAAAATTAGGTGTGCACACAAACAATTGAGTTAATGGAATAAACAACCCTACAACTTGATACTGGATAGTACACATAAAAATAATAGTTATAATCATTAGACACATTAATACATACTTAAAAGATTAATTAATTAACTGTTTTTCAAAAGCTATACTGAAGATTTGTTCTATCCCCAGAAATATTGAAGAAATGTTTTTAAATCAAATTTATTATATATCGGATAGATTCAAATCTTTAGTTAGGCTTGTACCGAGACAGGCATAAAAGCTTGGTGATCACTGAGTGCTCAATTTTGGATCCTAATTCAACAACCATATAAATATTTCATTAGTTAGTACAAATCACTATTCTTTTCAATGTTCAATATCACTGAAAGGTCTCGACAATTTCAAGTATTATGCAATTTATGTAGAGGTCAAACCTTTTGATCTAATAAAACTTTTGTATTTCAAAATTGGATAGATTTGTTGGAATTTCATAAAATGATGAACAAGCAAGCTTTTATCTATCACAGCCTCAGAAAATCCATGCTAATTGTAAATATCTTCAAACTCATTCCAAGCAACTTTCAAAGATCTTGAAGTGTGCTGAAGGCATCAGTTTCAACACTCTGAAGATTTATTGGAAAAATGTGAATTTAAGACTGGAAATGTTGAACTATTTTATTTCACACAAGATTTTAGAAATGTAGACAACTTGGAGGGGTCCCAGATATATCATTATTTCAATTTTTCTTGCAATAATCAAACAATGTATTTTATATAGGATTTTCTATCTAAATCCGAAATAAATAACTCAAAAAAACGTGAATTGATAGAAAACTCCAAAAGTTGCTTTATTTGGCATACAAAATGATAATTCCAAATCAAAATAATAAATCACAATACAAACCTACTCCATGTAGTTACCAAAAAACGCATTCGACAAAATCCTCTCCTTTATCTAAGGGTCACTAAAGAGAAATCTACGATGTCATTCAGGTGATCAAGCAAAATTAAACAAATTAGAGATGTAAGATGTAAGTAAAGCAAAACGTGTGAGAAAATGGGGAACTAACCATGCAACGTACCTAGGCGGCGCCATGTTCGATACCTCCTCTGAACTCCTGATTAGGTGTACATACCATTCTCCTACGTTCACGTTGTTGCGAGCCTCAAACTTTTTAATGAACGGCTGGTTCTTCAGTTTAGCGTATTTGGGTCGATGTTTTTTGTCTTTTTTCAAACTGAAACAAAGTGAGTTTCAGTGGCGCAATTAGGAGGGGGCTAAGGGGGGCTAAGCCCGATAAATCAAAAGTTGAGAACGGGACATGTGAGCCGTTTTGGCCGTTAAAAATAGTTTCGACACAAACTAATCCTAAAGTTGAAAAATCTCGATTTTGAACACCCTATATCTCTGTAATCATTTCCGATAGACCCCCGAGTGTGATGTATCGATGTAATCAGCTATTCAGGGAGCATCTAGAAATGCAATGAAATACAGGGTATTCTATTTGAAATAACAAAGTTGTCGTTACTCTTTGATAGAAACGGCAACATTGCATTGCTGAAAATATTTTAAATGAAGGGAGCCTATTCTTAAATATAAGCATGCATATCTTCATGAATTTCCCCCGACTGATTCTCGATATACTCTATATAGTTCCATCCTTATTCAATTCTAGGGATAAACACTAGATTTCTGGCATTTGTTGTTTTTTAGGTTATATTGAGGACATTGGCGTATCATACGCAATTTCCACATGGAATATTATATTCAAATGATGAATTATTTGAGTTTTTGATGTTTCAACTCCAGCATAATATTTGTGAGGCAGTGAGCATACATTTTTCTGAAACTTTATTGTTTTACCAAATAGGACAGTTCTTAGGCTGTACCTATAAATATTAAATGAATTTTGATTCCAGACTAAGCCTTATGATTGAGAAATGGTGAAAACCTTGATGTAGGTATTTAAACTAATGTGCTCATATGTCATCATGTGTGCTGTATATCTATATATTCATGTTGGGTATCATTTTTGCTGTTTTTTACAGGTATAATTTTTTAAATGGTAGGGTACATGCCTCTTCTTTTAATCCTCTGTATTAATCAAAACGGTTTCTACTGAAATGCATTCATAAACTTGTGGAGTGGATAATTAGGTACAATGAGAATGTATATGTGATTTTGTATAAGTTTTCCCTGGCATATTTTGATAATGTATTTACCGATTTACCCAATTCGGTCTCTTCACTTTCCATGTTCTAAGTTCATTTGCATTTGTTGGAAAGCTGACAAATTCATATATGCCATCCAACTGGTTGATACAGCCTAACACAGCGCATTTTACCATCCTCCCAGAACATAATTTAATAATGTCATATTGAGATTAAGTACTAATTAAAATTTTTTAAGATTTCTTTTAACGCCTGTGAATGTGACGTGACAGCAATGTCATGTCAAGGACGCCAATACACAAAACCAAAGTAACCAGATCATTGAAAGAGAAAGATGCTATGATCTGTACCCTGTAGAAATGGCAAATACATCAAATTACATCAAGGGAGCCTAGATCCAATGACAAATGGCCGAAACCATATCTGAATCTTACCAACATGACACAAATTCTCTGAAGTGGGGGCTGAACTCTTTATCGTATGGCAGACTAGGTGGTTCTTGTCCGATGACTTTGGTGAGCACTTCGAAATCAGTCTTGCAATCATGGTAGGGAAAAGCGCCGGTGGCTAGCTCCACCAGGGTGATCCCCAGAGACCATACGTCCGCACGCACGTCATAGTCCGGATTCTGGGGATCTGGTTCTATTCGTTCTGGCTGCAAATAGGATAACTATCATTTTTAGATTGAATTCATATCCTCTATGATTTTTGCAACTTGAATAATGAAATCCAGCTGAAAGATTCATCTTGACAAACACCAAATAATGTTATTATGAAATAGGATAATAGGATAACTATCATTTTCAGATTGAATTATTCATATCCTCTATAATTTTTGCAGCTTGACTCATGAAATCCAGCTGAAAGATTGATCTTGGCAGACACTAAATAATGTTATTATAAAATAGGATAATAGGATAACTATCATTTTCAGATTGAATTATTCATATCCTCTATGATTTTTGCAGCTTGACTAATGAAATCCAGCTAAAAGATTGATCTTGACAGACACCAAATAATGTTATTATAAAATAGGATAATAGGATAACTATCATTTTCAGATTGAATTATTCATATCCTCTATGATTTTTGCAGCTTGACTAATGAAATCCAGCTGATAGATTGATCTTGACAGACACCAAATAATTTTATTATGAAATAGGATAATAGGATAACTATCATTTTCAGATTGAATTATTCATATCCTCTATGATTTTTGCAGCTTGACTAATGAAATCCAGCTGAAAGATTGATCTTGACAGACACCAAATAATGTTATTTTCAGATTGAATTATTCATATACTCATGATTTTTTCAGCTTGACTCATGAAATCCAGCTGAGAGATTGATATTGACAGACACCAAATAATGTTATTACAAAATAGGATAATAATCATTTTCAGATTGAATTATTTATATCCTCTATGATTTTTGCAGCTTGACTAATGAAATCCTGCTGAAAGATTGATCTTGACAGACACCAAATAATGTTATTATAAAATATAGGATAACTTTTATTTTCCGATTGAATTATTCATATCCTCTATGATTTTTGCAGCTTGACTCATGAAATCCAACTGAAAGATTGATCTTGACAGACACCAAATAATGTTATTATAAGAGAATTGCATGATTGACTACTGATGACTAAAGGTGTTCCTCAAGGATTAGGATTTCAACTACAACATACTCAAAAGGATCAAGGATCTGTTTTAGGATCAATCTTAAATTAATTATATATTTAAATTATCACCAAAATTCTGATTGAGAGTACCTATACTACTTGTGCAGGCAATACTGTACATTATTATGAAAATAGAATTTCCTATTATTGCAAAAAATATAATTAACAGGCATGAGATTTGAAAAATGGCTTCATTCAAACTCCTTATCTATAAATACTAATGAAAGTATAAATACTATAGCTAACTATAACTATTAATAAAATACTGAAATACAATTTGATTTCAATAAGAAACTATGAAATTTATTATCACCAAAATATACAGCATAATGCATTTCACCTTGATGTTTCATTCATGATGCTTTATTTTAATACAATAAAATACCTATTATGATGATATAAAAAACTGTAGAAAGATAATCCAATTTGAATATGAACTCAAAAAATTCATGATTCTGAAGGAAAAAGATAATCAATTTATGTTTTTTCAACTTATATAATACCTACTAATAATGATTTTTCTCCACCTATATAAGATGTATTTAAAATTATTGTATTATTATTAACCACTTCCTATACCAGAACTTGTTTTTGACTGAGTTATATTTTTGATGAACAAAAAAAATGTATATTTAGATATATGTGCAGATCACAAATTACAGTCATAAGTGAGATATTGACTTAATTATTATTTATTCATGGATTCTTATAATCAAATAGTCACATCACCAAAATCCAATATTTCTATTTCATTCATGGGACTAAAGAATTTCAATGATTTGCCAGAATTAACATTTTCATCTTCCTTTGAAATGAACTCAAAATAATAGTAGCCATCATCTCTCAATGATGTATTATGAAGCAAATGGGCAAATTTCATGGCAAATTTATTCACTTTGAGTTTGATATTTTGTGTATTCCATTACTTATGTCTGTTGGTATATCATAGTACCCTCCTCACCACTATGATATGGAACTGTAAATTGTTCAACAACTAATTAAACAAATCATATTATAGAGTTTCTGTTTTTTTTTCTTGTTTAAGCTACAGACAGTATTTGAGTAATTATCTTCTGTAGCTTCCTAAAATTCATCAGAAAGAAAAGTTTTTTCTCATAATTTGTTGCTTACAGCCATATATGCAGCACAACCAGCACTCCTAGTTTTTGCCATTGAATCTACCAATCTTCCACTAATACCAAAATCACACAACTTCACATTGCCTTTGGTGTCCAGGAGTATATTTGATGGTTTCACATCCCTATGTATGACACCATGTTTATCTTTCAAGTAAGATAAAGCTTCAACAGTCTGAAAAATAAGTATACTTCAGTCAGTAATTTGGTTTCAGTTATGGTAACAATTATTTTGACTCAAATGAAATGTTGCTTACTGCTACTGTAACTTTTCCCAAAACTTCTTCAGGAACTGGTTGTTTGAACCTCTTCAAAAGTTTGTCAAAACACGTGTCCATCAGCTCCATGCAAATCCATACTTCTGAATCAGTAATAAAACATCCTAAACATTGAACTATATATTTACAATCATGAGATTTAAGCACTACTTCTATATCCATTATAATTCTTTTGCTCTCATCAATGTTGCCAGACCTCCTCATTTGCTGAAAATAATGTCAAGTTCAGATGATTACCACCATTAGAACATTTCAGGAATGTTAATAAACCTCAATGAGTATATTACCTTCACAGCTATAATATTTCCACTAGGTCCATGCCTCATCTTAACAACATGTCCACAAGTTCCATTTCCTAGTTCTTCAATGTGTTCCATTTCCTTTATGTCAGTTTTATATCTAATTCCATCAATAGTGAGATCACCACTGGTTTTCATAATCTCCCTCAGTCTTGCTTCAGTCTCCACATTGTCATTCTGTCTCATGGCAAAGCTTAAGTTTCTAGGTCTAGGCATTATGGGGCTGTTGCTGTTACTATTCAAAGCCACTGGAAATTTATAGGCTTCAAAATCATTGTGTTGAAACAAGGAAATACTAATTACGTATTTTGATTGATTGATTGTCTTTATTACCCCAATAAACATTTCTGTTTATAATGGGTATTTATAAACACAGAGCAATATCATTGTGACCAAGACAACTCTCCAGAATGTTCACCATTCAAGCACATTCAAGGGAGGATAAGAGTGACTACAGGACACCTGAACCTCAAATGTTCATTCTGGTATTTTGAAATATTTGCAAATTATGCATGAAAGGATGTAAACTATACAACAATCTTGAATATTGAAATACTCACGAGATAATGGAGGGCGACTTGGAGGCAAGCCTGCACCTGGGTCACCCATGGTAAGGCCAGAAGGGCTTCGTTCGCCTTGAATACGATGCAAAAGATCATTAATTTTTTTAGAAGCCGCTTCGGACATCGCCCAATGTGAATCGAAGTTTATTGAATCTTGACTCGAATGATAATCTCTTTTATTTTGTTGCTAAAGAAATTATTTCTCATTTTCTGACATAACTAAAATGGTCTGAAACTGAATGACAGCTGACTGACAGCACTGACAGTAGTGACCTATTCTGTCACTGTCAAATAATGTTGTCCTCTTCTTCTTCAGATTACTTTCCTAATCTGAGTCTAAGATCGAACACAACTGAACTCTTCTTCACTTCAATGAATTTTCAGCCGGTCTTTTGCAAGTTGCAAAGACTCATTGACAGTGAAGAGACGGAAATGGAAAATGGCTCTTTTTTTTGTTTCCGAGAAAAGGAAGTGAACGAAAAATGGTTCTTGTTTCTTGTGACCGAAACAATGCCAACACGTATCGGAGGGCAGTAATCATTCAAGGGAGAAAAAGGCACTTTACCCCTTTACCCCCATGTTATACATATGATTTTTCCGCCTTCCTCATTTTTAAATTATTTATTTATTAAACTAACAAACAATAATTATTTTTGTATCTAGAGCGCGAAATACTATACTTTGGTGATCAAAATCTGAAAAGCTAAAGCGGCGTCTACTTTTTTTCGAGAACCAAGGCCTACTATATTACATTCGTACATTCAGAGACCGAAAAATCCAGAACCCATATATGTTAATGTTGATTATTTTCTCATGAAACTTATTATTAGTACAGATATATTTCAGAGGACGCCAATTTTAAAATCACTAAGTATATTAATTCTGGATTTTTCATTCCCTGAATGTGATTTAGTAGACCTTATTAGTATTTGAAGAAAGTGGATATGCCACATATAGCTACAAAATACACCTTATCCCCCTTCACATGGAAAAAATGTAAAAATCAATCCATAAATAGCTATTTTCTGTTTATGGATTTGCTAATATTTTCGAAGAAATATTTGAAAACCTCGAAAGAACATGCGATGATTATCAAAACTTAGATTTCAGACATAATACTCAATAGGCCTTTTCATATTGATATATTTTTAAGACGCATGCGCTCGTTTTCAGATCCAAAATTCGATTGGTTAATGCGAAGGTGAAGTTTCAATGGCTATAGTTCCGACACATAATTCTGATTGACCATTACGAATATGGCGGTTTTTATTGAAGTTCTGTCAAACGTCAACAGTGTCAACCAACATGGGCATTCGTCATTGAGAGACAATGATAACAATATAGTATTCTCGTTTCTATATTCCTGGTGTGTATTATATAATTGTATTATATTAATTTAAATCTAAAAAACGTTCATTACTGAGGAGTGTGGTGCAAGTGTTTAGGTGAAAATGACAGCCACTGTCTTTGGATGCGAGATGTAAACACAGATAGTCATTTCTCATCTAAATGAAAAGGCCTATTAATATAATAAGTGACTGATTTAAATTTGACGTTTGAAAGGTTAGAAATGGTAGCTACATATTAACTGAGTGAATGATTGGTAATGATTCAAATAATTAAATAATATACTACCCTTTTGATATTGTCTATTCTTATATTCCCTTTGCATAAATACACTTTTTTTCTAATACATAATATACATTAAAACTTCATAATGATCACAGGATCAAATTGAATAAAATTACACCAATAAAGCAGTCATCATGGAAGAAAATTCATGTTGCCACCTCCAATCATGTGATACCCACCACATTATTATGAATCACTGGGCCTGTAAAAAAGTAAAATAAGACTTTTATAATCTCAAAATGGAAACACCTGAATTACTTTTTCACATAGGGTATCAATAATAGTTTCACAATATAAAAAGGATTCTATGTTTCTCAAACTAAGCAATTAGGTAATTATTCATGCATATGTAATGAAAATTTTAGTTTTGGTACATACAAACAGAAAAAACTCGAAGAAAAATGCAAATTTTCATCGTGAGTTCATCTTTCTATGGATAAGTATCATCTGTGCTTCAATTTTTCTCAAGAAAAGTTGGATCAAAACGAAAACTTCAAATCAGTCAACTTAGGGCCAGCTGCATAAACACCACTGCATGCTAACTTGATGAAGAATCAACTCTACCAACTCATAAGCTGAAGCAATTGCCATGGATATAAAAACATATTTAATCGTCTGTCAAATTCTTTATGCTATCGGCTTTTTAGTGATTGAAAAATCCCAACGACACAGATTATTTAAGAAAAACCGAGTGTCAAATAACTCATCCATCATAGAGCAACAATAAAGTGATATTAGATCAAAATAAGAAGATTAATTCAATATATTTCTCGGCAAAAGTTAAAATATACCTACAGGTTTCAGTTCATCAAGCAATACATACACAGCAAGAGCTCTCTACCAAATTCAAATTTGATTGATTTATTGTCTTTGTTACCCCAAGAAACATTTCTGTTTATAATATGATATTTATAGTGATACATGAATACATATAAAAAAAAATTATAATAACATTAAGGTTATGTAATGAATTCCACTCAGTGGAAAGAAATTCATATTTTTCTTAAGATGAAAGTTGTAACACTTAAATTTGGAGTAATCAAATTTATTGAATCATGTAAAATCTACATATTTTGCCATTGAATATTAGTTACATAAATATATACAGGGTGTCCGGAAAGGTTATGTCATAAATGATTGGGCTGATAGAGCGAGCCAAAATAATGTTCAATATGACTAATATTATGACGTAATTATAATAAAAGCCACATACCCACATACGGCGTAGGATGGATTCAAAAAAGCAAATTCAAACCTATAGTTCATTCTTGCTGGTGCATTAGTTATGCTGATATCCCTGTGCGATAGCAAACATAAAACATCCTAAGGCTATAACACAAAATTGCTCTTATTTAATTGTTTTTATAAATCAATGAGGTACATTGTATGTCTACAATTTCTAGCAATGACAGCTGTGTCTGATAGAGCATTACTTAAGAAATGTCGATATTATCTATTACAGCCGTGAAAAATGACTATCATTCCATTCTCGTTGAACAATATACTATTTTCTATTGAAAGGAATATTCTCAGATACATTATTTTCATCAGACAGAGAATGCTAATTCTCAATGCATTTCTTTATAAATATATATATATCCATTTTTCCATGTTCATAATTTATCTGAGAATATTCTTTTTCAATACTTTCACCCAATCAAGGGGTTCAAACTTGAACGATGGAAACTTGTTATTTTTGTAGACCTTTAATGGCAGATTCATGATCAGGTTTTCTCAATTCAGAATTTCTTTCCACTTCCTGTATGACGAATATCAATTTGTCATACATCCAAAAACAAACAAAAAAATACTATTTCCTAATTGGTTACTAAGCTAAAACGATTTTAAATTAATACGATGGAGACAAACACAAGACACTGCCCCAACACCACTACAAATATCTATTCATTCCGACTACGATCTACCCGAAAATGTACATACCAAAAGAATAATGTAGTGAGTGTGCAAGCTGTGAAGGAAGCAATGGTTTACCGTGGTTGAGCTTTCGGTTGCATATAGAATTGCACCTCCCTTGACAAAGAACTAGCGGAACTCCATCTAGACATCTATCCATAACCACAACAAATGGTAAGCCAAACACCAGAGAAAATTATCACTTTTTGTTTCATTCATAACAAATATCAATGATGCAATAATTTAAAAGTGAGAGATAACATGTTATACCTATTCAAAATATAACATGATACAACATTCGAAATTTTGAGCCACAAATCTATACAAATTTATCACCAGAACATGAGATTATTCATTATCCCCTTATACAGTTTCATTTGTCATAAACCAAATTCGCAAATTGCATAAAAGACTTTTGAATGTTCAATGGTTATGACAGTTCAGCTTTTATCACCTTGGCAGAAGGAACAAATATCCACCAACTCCAACCAGAAAACAGAATATCAGCAGAGCAATGAATCTGGTAGAACATTCTCACTCCAGAAAAACCACAAAAATTCAATACAACTAAAATATAAATATGACCATGCTCTTTGATTTGTCAGGAACACTAAACAAAAATAATTCAAACATGTATTGTGATATAATATAAATAATAAAATAATTCAAATAATAATAAACATACTTGCATAAATATGGAATGTGATGAAATAAAATGTATGAAGCTTATGAAACATAAAAACATGTTATTCACATGCATTGCACAATTTGATTTCAAAATATAATGTCAAAAAGACACACATGCGCAATCCACACTTAATCCTTACTTCATTTTTACAACTTGCTCCTTATTGATCATTATGTTTCCTCTTCTGACAACAAACAAATGAAATTACCAAGATAAGCATTAGATTCATGAAATTTCACATTAACATAATAAATACAGAATACACTTCCCAACACATTACTTGATCTTCCAAATATCAATATATTTGTTTTTTTTGCTTTGTTCATTATTTTCATAAGCATGAAGGTCTAGGTAAGGGTGCAAAAAATGGAGAAAGTTGATATTTCGTGTTTATCGGGAATCGCATTCTTATACAGATGACCCTGTATAATGAAGACATGTGAAAATTTTCCCATTTCATGATTTGAAATTATTTTTTTCCAAATTAAAAAAAAATGGTTCTAGATTGAAACATGTGGGTGTCTAAAAGGGAATTTTTTCAAAGATGCTCAGTGATTATCTTTGAGAAAACTATTAGCTGTGCATTTTCTTATAAAAAGAGATATTTCGAATCATGAAAAGGGAGACAGAGAAAATTGTAATACAAGAAAGATTTATGATTATTTGGAATTGATTACTGCCTCATTATTGGTGGACCATTAATGTAATTATTGGAATTGTCCTTAGAATGTCAAATTGATCGAAGATGGAAGACGAAAATCATCAATACAAATATAGGTTTAAAACTTTGAAATTTTGCAAGATGGCGATCAACTTCGTTTTTTTACAACAACATTTTCACTAACAAATTGAAATATGATATTTTCATTTAACCATTCATGTATCCAAAT